AAAAATTACCAAAAGAACGTCTATGTATATATAGTGATAGTATACTATACACTATATACTATCACTATATACATAGTATATACTATGTATAACTATATATATTCTTTGAATGCCCGTTTACTCATCGTATATGTCCCGTTTTTAATGCTCATCATAAAAGTCGCCAAAAGTAGCCAAATCCCGTGTGCACCGGATACTAGGATTAACCACAAACGGTTTCATTGTATGACACTCCTAATACTATTATAAACAATATTGTCACTTGAAATTTCAGTTGCAGTTTATTTAAAAATCATTTGTCAGAACAGGCTGGACATAAGTTTTCCCAAGCAGAACACATTTTTATGATTGAGCATTATTTCGCAATGGCCTCATACAGAAAAGCTGTTGTAGGATTTAAGAGATCTTCCCAAGTGCTAATGAACCTAACAAAACAATTATATTCCTCTTTATAATCAGATTTCAGAAAATTGGAAATGTTCACCACACGAAACGAAGCAGCCGGCTATCTGAGTTCGGGCAAAAGGGACGAAGTCTGGAATAAAATCTTGCAATAAATTCGTTCTGCATGAACAAAAATACATCTTCAGCTCATATGTATTCCGTCATCGTTATAGTATACAACACTTGAATTTTGACCGCAAACTGTAAAAATATTGGTATATGCAGACGTAATTGCCCACCAGCGGCCGAGCGGTAAAGTCGCTGAACACTGGTAGTTCGGTCCGAGGTTCGAATCCCGCGAAAGGCTGGATGGTTTTTTTCGTGTTTTTCCACATGTGTAACGTGTATACGAGCCAGTTTCCCTTAGAAAGTCCTCCACGAAGGCATCCTTTCCCTTAAGCAGATAGCCCTAGTGTGCTTTGCCATAATTAAATACGCCACGCCATATACAGATGTAATTAATTTTCTGCACCAGTACAGTATGTGAAACATTACTTGAACTATTACCAGAAACATGAGTATTGTAATACCGATTATTGAATTTTTTTTTTTTAAATATACGGAACCTTGCAAAGACTGTTACACTCTGCAAAATGTAAACACTTCTGCGGCCACTTGGGGTGTAGGAACAGCGTGGGGCATGCACTCGGCGTTGGGCTTCGGAGGTTGGTGTGACCCCGTTAACATCTAAAGGGGTTCTCTTGATAATGGTGGACGTGGTGCTATACTGATTAACCGTTATGGTGAAGGGATAGTACTCCCGTTCCTTGTCCTTGAACCAAACAAACGGTAGAAAAAGCTAAGTAATTTTTCAGAATAACTTTAAAAAAAATCAGCCATCCACCTCTTAGAAAGTTCTTCATAAAGATAGCCCTCTTGGATTTTGCCTCAATCAGTTTAATAATTAGCATAAATTGCTAAGTTTATGAACTCTTCAAATAAAATAAAAACACTGTAAAAGAAAATGAAGGTAATGGCTCATAAACCTTGGTTTTTTTTTTTTTTTTTTTTTTATCACAATAAGTGAAAGGAAATGTACTTTTACCTGACATATTACATTACATTTTACGCGTAAGCTAAATTTATTGTTTCCAGTTATGAATCTGATTAAAGACAAGGAACTTTAACCACTTTCTTAATTAAGGAATATCCTTTGCAAAAATTTATTCTTCCAAGCAAAGCATAAATTTCTGATTCCCCCCGTTTTTTTTGAGAATTATACGAAATTTTGATTTACGGAGATTTTTAAACTGTGTTCGGATTGTCGTAAATAGTTTGGTGGAAGCGTATTTGGCCTACTCGAAATAGGAAACAGTCGAGAATCAACTATGCTTTCGTCGACATTCTTAATTCCGCATCTTCTCAGTGCTAGGCGGATATGCTACCCCGAAAGCATGCATTCAAGAAAGAGAAAATTCCTTACGCAGTCAAATTTTCCAAAATGTCTTCGATTACGCCAGTTGATAATATGCAATTGTATGTATCATATTCAAAACTTTTTTTAAAACCATGCATGAAATTTTATTTTATAGTCAAAGAATTGATAGCAAATAAAATAGAGAAAAAAACTATGCTAAGTTTTCATTGCAATTTTTGAAAAAATATCAACTTTTACAAAAAACATGAGATAGGCAAATGCATAATAACAATTTTATGTAATAATACATACCTTATAAACTTGTTCAAATAATTTTAGAAGTTTGAATCCATAAAAATAACAGGCCCACCAGCGGCCGAGCGGTAAAGTCGCTGAACACTGGTAGTTCGGTCTGAGGTTCGAATTCCGCGAACGGGCTGGCTGCATGGGCGTTTTCGTGGTTTTCCCTATGTGTAACGTGTATACGAGCCAGTTTCCCTTAAGAAGTCCTCCACGAAGGCATCTCTTCCCTTAGGCAGATAGCCCTCGAGGCTTTGCCATAATCACACACAAACCATAAAAATAACAAACACAAAATCAAAAATTCATAAACACAAACGATGCCCACACTCTAATAATGACCGTTACACCGTTAGTGGTGCCACCATACTGAAAATTTCAAAACTATATACGTAAGCAGTATGTATTCAGTTGGTTACACTATGCAGTAAGTTAAAAATTTGTGGTTTGATTTGATTTACATGACTAAATATATGTTGCCAGAGGGCAACTGCAAGCATTTAAGGGTTAAGCTTTTAGAAACACACGGGAGAGTTTTCGGGATGAAATTACTTAATCCCTTAATCTACAATGACGAGTATAGCCCGCGTACGATGGTCGGGCCAAACCTAACTTTCACGGGCATAGCCCGCGTACTGTGATCGAGCCAGAAGTGAATATTACGTGGAATATTTCATACGCAATGACAGTCTGATGCAGTAATTGTGGTAGACGCAAGTATTACAAAATGTTTTATTTATACAAAACTCCAAAATACAAAATTAGTAATCTGTAACGGTATGATATATTTCAAAGCATTTCTGGTACATGTAACGGAACTTTACACTTTTTACACTCGTGTTCTATGTGGATTTTTTCGTACTTGATTTGCATAATGATTCGTTTCGGTTACAATATTGTTCCAAAATAGGTCATCAAATATTAGATTAAATGTATCAAATTCTCCTCTACTTGCTCCTAATTGACATAAGGCTTCCTCTCTTATGCCAGGTGTCATCGTATAGTCCCAGATTTTTCGACTATTTCTTATTTCTTTCCAAAGCCAGGACTCTGGTAGTTGATCGTCATCGGATGTATCATCAATAATTATTCGCTTACACTTTCTTCGAAAATTACGTAATTCGTCATGTTTACGATTGCCCGGATTAGCGTGTTACACAAGTCGTGCAAATGTGCCGAACGCTGAGCGAGCTTATATACAATTTCGGCTCAACATCTTCGAATCTAAATCGTAGGTTAAGCCTACATGTACGAATCTTTTACTGAATGTCTCAAATCAGTTCGGCATGGCTAATTCATTCTACAGAGGGATTCTCTGTAGATTTTACATGTACAGCTAGCCCACATGCGATCCACGAAATGATACTTCTAAACATTAAGACGTCTTCCGGGTTTTCTTCCCTAGATTTGAATGGTTTCCTCTGTCTTTTGTCTGTGTCTTCCTCCTGAGATTATATAATGAGTGTTTGATTTTGTATTAAGGCAGCATCGTCTGTGAGAGTATAATATACACAAACCATGCCTTTGTTTTAAGATTCCTCCAGCCTGGTTCAACACAGGCGGATGACCAGAGGCTCAAATATTCTTCCTATTCATGGTGATCTGCTACCTCGACTGAAATGAGGCAAGAACTTCGGACCCGTGAAACAAATTTTTGATAAACCTGAGTTACTTCCGTCTAATACGGAGTTGAGCAAAGGGTATTACCTCGTAGTTGCATTAATTTGCAAGCAAAGGTGCAAGCGAAAGTTACGTTACATTCCTTCATTATCAGTTTATGCGGTAATAAAAACCAATTTCTCAGTAATCAGAAAATGCATGCTACTCGTAATTTGCATTAAGGAGTCTTCTGCAAAGAAGCGTTTCCTCAGCAAAAAGACCTTAATTATTAGCGTATCGATAGTCGAGGGGCCAGAGCGCTAAACTGGTGAGTCGACCTCGTTTCAAATGGGCTTGTTTCGTAAGAGTTTTCGTGCTTTTTCCATGTGTAACGCGAATACAGCAAGTTTCCCTTGAAAAGTTTTACCACGACGACATACATTCTTCTCCTTAGGCAGATAGCCCTCACATGCTTCGCGGTGATCAAAATAATCAAAAACAAATCTACGATTAATTTGTCGAAGTCATTACTTATTTACATTCGGTACTTCCCTTGATATAATATAGAGTGATCAGAATAATACATGCCTACCTAACATTACACCACCTGTTATTAACCTGCAACAATTCTTTTATTATAGCCGAATATTTTTGATAATACAGTGAAAAGTATCTACAGTTGTTAAATTAAAAAGAATTTTTGGTTAATCTCTCGATTATGGTAACTTCGCGATTTTTTGGCGAAACTTTGGCGACCAACCCTGCTACAGCAACCTGCTAGTTTTGGTTTTGGACGCCATTTTGTTTTCACGAAGTAAAGGCAAGTTTTTTTTTTTTTACTCAAGATTTTTTCCAACAATCTGCTAGCCGAATTACGCTTATAATAGAACTTTTATGGAACAAAAATGCTTAATTATGACGAAGATTAGGTGCGAAATTGGGAGAAAGTGCATGCAGAATCGCAAACTGCTTGCCGCGTAAGAATTCCACATACACGGTAGCACCCATGTACACATCGACCTATTTTCACTTAAAAAAACATCTCAGAATTGCACAAATATGGCATTGCTCACACTCTTGACTTTATCCATGTACACTGCTAAAGTCCTAGCTAGTAACCTTTATCACCTTACCAAAATGTCGCCAAAGTACCTGTTACCATATTCCAAAGATTAGCCGAATTTTTATTGCCTTACTCAGCTTTTCGAAAATAAATTTGACTCATTTTTATAATTTTAGCCATGTAAGTTATTATTAATAGTATTTTGCAATTAAGGGATATTTTTTGTTGATGTAACAGGTTTCGAGCACCTTCTGGAGAGTTTGGGTTTAGGAAATATTATCATCAACGACCACGATGTGAAGGCTCACAAAGAGGAAGCTTTTCGAAATGCCCATGACACTCACGAACACGCTAAAAAGGTCGACGTATTCGACTTCACGAAAAAGAAGGAAAGCGAAGAAAAAGTGTCGTCTCATTCCCATAGACATCCAAGCGATCTACACGATGATCAAGGTGAGAACTCAGTTTCATTAAAAAAATTAATGCACTAATATCAGTCGGTAATGAACGAATCTCAAAAATACCTAAAATTGTTTAGTACCGATAACAAGATTCTGAAATCAAATTCGAAAGCTTAATCCAATTCGACGTTGGTGTAGTGTGCGAGCGGAAATACGTTTTACTGGCAAATAGGATGAAATTTCCGGATGACAACTCCACACTTATGGACGATGTTTTGGTGTTTTAGGTTGGTAATGGCTTTAGAGTATATTTTTGGCTCCTTAGGTGACTTTTGGTGATAAACTGCTTAATAATTTGAAAAACTCAAAGTAAATTTATTCCTTTAATATTGTATAACTCTGTGGTAAGTTTTAAGTAAGTTTGACTGGAATATAATTTATTATAATGGTACTTGGAAGTCTTCAGTTTTCAAAATACGCCAATCTCGAGCAACCGTGAGTATAGCAGTTCTTCAGGCAGCCGTGCAGTATTTTTCCGCAAAACTGCTAAAGAGGACTATTGTTTTGAATTTATTCTGAAAGGGATCACCACCAAATTTCCACCCAAACAAAGAAACGAAAATCTGCTTCTCAGTAGCTTTAATGATTAATTTTAGAGATAAAGATCTAATTAAAACGTAAAATATAAATGCAGGTGAGAGCAGAATGCAGACACTCGGGCGGCTTTCACAGACTATTCGGGTGTAGTCAGGATCCCGCAACTGTCTAAGGCAAGGTTTCTTACACTTTTTTACCCACGACTCCTTTTTATCAGTGAGAATTTTTTCGCGACACCCAGGACCCCGTAATATTTACAAAAATTTTGTGGGACCCTATAAGTCTTGCTCAAATCCAACACACGCGTGAGTGAAACCGTCATTTTTTTCATTTGTACTGTAATATACTATTGCAGGTTTAGGTCATTAACGTTAATTTCTATTTTTAAGACGTAGAACAATGTGAAAATTTTAAATAAGTAACAGACGAAATGACAGGCGTCACGTGCAAAGCAAGGAAAATGAACGCTTATAATTTAAAAAGAATGCGTCGAAAAGTTTTCATTTTTTTCTTTGTCTGTATTGTCTTATCTTTATCTATTTTCAGATACACTGTGTAAAAATATTTGGTAATTGTAAAATTATTATAATAAGTTAAAGAAATATCAAAACTGCTAACATTTTTGGCGACCTCCTGCTGTAGGTCCCGCGACCCACAGTTTAAGAAACCCTCATCTAGGGCAACACACTCCCAGCATCGCGAGTTTATCGCGAAAAATTGGAAGTAGAGTAATATGATCCTACAAGCATTAATATTTTACATCTGCCTTGTACAATACATTTATCATAGTACAATTCGCAACACACTTGCATATTGTAGTTCGTTCAACATATGCGTACATATGCTGGGCACTTGACAATTAAACATAAGCTTAATGAACATTTAACATACACTTAACCATTAAACATACTTACATATTATGCTTCATTCAATATATACTTATATACACTGAGTTAGACAGCGAATATAAACTTAATCATTAAACGTACACTGAACATATACTTACATACGTTTTACATACACTTGCATATTATACGCACTTACGTGTTGTACGCTGGTTACATGCAGATTATATATATGTTACGGTGAAACACCGAAATCTGGAGAATGTCGACTTTCACTGGTGAATGTCAACATTCACCTATAGTCGCTTGGTGTATGTGTCCGAAATATTTTCCAAATACTCTAATTTCTGACTTAACCGGTCAATGTCAACATTCACCATGTACTAATGGTGAATGGTGAACATATAAGAATATCATATTTTCTTCTCCGTCATTCAGTCGCGAAAAAAACGCACTTGAGACCTCAAATAAGAACTTAAGAACATAAGAATGTAAAACACCCAGTACATTCAAAATGAGAAAAGAAAATAATAGAAGTTAAAAACTTACTTAATTACAAAGTACGTTCTAAATGAGAAAATAAAATAATAGTAATAAAATCTTACTAAATTATGTGATTCAAATCTTATTTATTGCAACAACTGAAACTGTTATGACCTCTCTTTTCGACCTACACCAGAGCATATTTGTGATTGTCAACATACACCGGTGAGGGTCCGAATGTACAAGAATGTAATGCAATACTCGATCTTTCACCGACGTATTTGACGTCTCCGGTGAAAGTCGACATTCTCCAATTTCGGTCTTTCACGGTAACATATGTTCTATTGCAATATACCTTACAACATCTTACAAGGCAGTTATTTACAGATACTTGTAAAGACATTAGAATTTTTTGGAAGCCGGAGAGATATGCGACTGGGGACGTGGGCACCATCCCTTTACCATTGGTTTAATTGGTACAGCGCCATGTCCACCTTTATCTAGAGTTTGGCTATTAGAACAATGGGAGATTACATACATATTTAACATTGGTATTAAGGAGTGCACAGCCAAGAACATACAATACTCATTGGTAATACATATAAATCATGGGTTATGGTACAGGTGACGGGGACGCCTGGTGTTTAACATAGGTAAACAGACGTGTGTCCCACGCCCTCACCTATCTAGGAATAACAACTCCCTGGGGCCCCGTGAGGCTGCCTCCGGAGTTTATAATACAGATCTAAAGATCAATACATGGCCAAACAGGGGTTGAGGATTATTGTTTGACAATGGTTGCGTGACAATAACTTTTTGGGTGTGTATAGCTGTTGGAATAACACAGATACATAAATATATACAAAACAAATACAAGAATAGATACATATACAGGCAAAAACAAACAAATACTAACAGATACGAACATAAGGATGCATTGATATTAAGATAAATACGAAGAGAGACACATATGTAAGATACAAGAGTAAAAACAAGAGTAGTAAATACTTAAAAAAAAAAGCTAAAATACAGAGTGGGGTAAAGGGAGTTATATGTGTATTGCTGGTATCCTTGTGTTTGTAAATGTGCTGTGAGTACTTAAACACAAAGATGAAGCAAGGAGTACTGGATGTAGTGTTATGGCGCCAGGAGTTAGTGTTAGAGTTCGCTGAAAGTACAGTTTGCACTATAGTTCAAATTTGAGAGTTCAGGCTAAACTGAAGTTTAGTGTACACTGTGGTACTAATAGCACTAAATTTGGAGTTTGGCACAGTCACTAAGTTTTAATGCAATTGCTATAGGTTGGTACAGTCGCTACAGCGCAGACACTATGTTAGGCACAGTAATTTCAGTACACAGTCACAATGGTTACACAGTTACTATGACTGTGAACAAGTTTAAGAGAATTATCTAAGTCACGGTGTAGGTACTGATGTTCACTGATGTGTGCACTTATGTAGTGCTTAGGCATAGTCGGTGTTGGTGCATGATGTATACGTGCGGTGTACCATGCATTGCAATAGGTTGGAAGGTGATGTAGGCATTCGAAGGCACTTCGAGTTGACACAGTTGGTACTCTGCTAGCACACCAAGGGTTAAGGTACAGTTGGCCTGTATATATATCATAAGACAATGACATATTCGTGTATGGTATGATAAATTCACATAAAGCTGCGCCATATATATCTGCGCATTAGGAAATAAATTACTATATTGCAAATATCTAGCGGTAATTAACACAGACACAGGAAAGTGGACAATGATTATGACATTACAACATTCATATTGACAACACTAATTAACTCAGCTTAGGGGAGTGAATAATACTGTACCTTGATAAATCACATTCACTGCAATTAATATTAAAAGACGTATGATATATAATAATTACGGTTGAGGACTTGTGCTGGGATTACATTGAACACAAGCATTGCACTACAGATACGGACTAATATTAAGAGTACTGGTATAAAATGTTGACAAAGCAATGCGGCATAGGTCATAACTCATACATGCAAGTACAATTGTTGAAAAATTAGGAACGCCTTCGCCGCAAATCGAACCACGGACCTCTGGAATACCGGCCCAGTGTGCAGAACCACTACACCACGAAGGCAAGCTAGGAAGGCGGGAGAAGTACCTTATAAATATTAATACAATATATCTTACAACATATTACATAGCAGTTATTTACAGGTACTCGTAAGTATTATATAGCAGCTACATACAGATCAGTTTTTGCATATCGGTTGCATACTAGTACTCGCATACGAATCAGTTATTGTTGCATATTGAATGTTACTTATGTGCTACATATCGGCCACTACACAGCAGATTGTTGTATAACTATTTCGTGTTCATGCTGTGCACCCGTTGGGACAAATAGTAGTTTTCACATAGTGAAGCTGAAAATATAAGTGCAATAACAGATACGTATGTAGTAAATAGTATTTTGCAATTATCAGCCACCATTCGTTGGCTGCTGTAAAATAAATCACAATCACTTTGGCGCAGTGAAAAAAAAAAAAGTTATCTTGAAAAATCGTAATTATTTAACTACTGTGAAATCGTAATCATCGCTAATGACCATATAATCGCAATCGCATAGTGATTAAAAAAACGTAATCACTTTAGCTCAATCACTTGGCAGCCAAAGTGATTGCTCTAATACTTAAATACTAAAAAAAGTATTCCAGAAATTCAGAGTTTTCAGTAAATCATACTTTTGTTTTTAATTTCTTTATTGATTTGAATTTTCTAGAGCAAATTTTATATTAAATTTAAAATGTCGAAGAGCTTTTGGGACAATGTCGTTATTTATTTTCATTATAACAATTTTAATATCTTCTTTTTATCTGACTGAGAATTTTGCGTGTTTAATAGTTAAATAAAACAGTATTTTAAAACAAAACTATAATTTTTTTCTTAATTAAATTATATTTAAGTTAACATGAAGTGTGCTACATATATAGGAAGAATAAAGTCGAAATCTTGAATAAAGTCGCGACTTTGACTTAAATGACTCATTTATAAATCGTAAATTGCAAAATTCCGAAATGTTCATAAGTTTCTCTTTTTATAAGTGTTTATTACTGCAGGCCGCTACCACACATCGCAGCAAATGGCATCTTCTACGACACGGAAGTCAGTTTCTTCGAATGAAAGCCGATATCGTCATTCATCCAGAAACGCTTTACCTCCTGCACAAGGCAGCGAAAAGCTAACCACAGCCCAAACAGACTACCGTCCGATGGAAACGCCCGAGAACAGGACGCAGGATCATTCTCTGCATTCCTCGGATAGCATATATCATTACCATCTAAAGGAGGCGAATATTCCCGAATTGCTCATGAACATAACTCATTTGGTGGATCAGCATCAAGAACTCAAAGACGAAAGTCCGGAAGTATTCATTCAACAGGTAAGTGCTGTGCGAAAAGCTGTGTAAAATTAGCCCACACTATACTTGCAGTTTTTTAAGCGCGTGTAAACTGAAATTATTTTACACTTTATCGAGTTTTCTTGCATTGAACAATCGTTTTCGACTCGGAATAGTATTGTTTGAATGATAATTTTAATATTTTTAATTAAAAAAAGATCGCTAGACTAAATATGCTTCTTTAAAGCTTTAAGATTAAAATATGCTTCTTTAATTATATATTATACTTTGTTCAATATATACTTATATACACTGAGCATTTGAGAGTTAGACAGTGAACATAAACTTAATCGTTAAACGTACACTGAACTTACATACGTTTTACATACACTTGCATATTATTATTAATGTTATTTCGAAGCGGGAGACGTGAAAAATGAACAATGCCGTCACCGGGAATCGAAGCTCGGACCTCTCGAATACGCGCCGAGTGTGCTGGCCATTACATCACGATGCCATGCTAAAAAGGTGGGAGAAATATCTTATATACTCCCCCTTTTAAAAGACAACTGGGGTTTTAGGGGATCCTATCGCCAAATCCTGGTGGTGGAGAATCATCATTCATCACCTTTTAGTCAGGCTCCCCTAACCACTATACCATCTGGGCTACTCGACATATATTCGAGAGGTCCGTGATTCGAGACCCGGCAAGGGTATTATACAGATATCATCTTTCCTTTTTCAAAAATAATCCTAATGTATCTAGAGTGGCGTTGCCTCCTCGATCTGTAATACAATCCTACTAATGTCCTTGTAAGGCCACGTACTTCCTTTTCACAACCTCAATAATCTCCTGGTGCAGCCACGTGGGGCTCCAGGGAGCTATTTCTGTAGTTAGAGGAGGGCGTGGGACACATGCCTGTTTACCTCTGTTAGACACCAGAGATCCTCGACCTCGGTAACCTACCTACCTATCTTATTTCCTATCTTCATAGTAGTGTCACATGTGATTTAGGTATTGCTAGTTTGAAGAGATATTAGGTTATTTCGAGGCAGGAGATGTGAAAAATGAGCAATGCCCTCGCCGGGAATCGAACCGCGGACCTTTGGAATACGCGCTCAGTGTGCAGACCACCACACCACGAAGGCATGCGAATAAGGCGGTAGAAATACCTTATATACTCTCACTTTTAAAGGGCGACTGGGGATTAATGGACCCAGCCGCCAAATCCTGGTGGTGGAGAATCATCGTCCGCCACCTTTTTTAATTAGCGCGCCAATGTAGATACATTAGGTTATTTCGAAGCGGGTGATGTGAAAAATGTGCAGTGCCCTCCTCCGGGACTAGAACCACAAACCTCTCGATTACGCGTCGAGTGTGCTTCCAATTACATCACGTAGGCATGCTAAGAAGTGAGAAATACCTTATAAAGTTTTTTGTCGAAATGGCGTAAAAAAAAAGTAAGCAAAAATACTGTTTATATGCTGAGACATAAAGAAATATCGGCTGGTTTTACCTCGGAAGAGAACATGTGAAGTTCATTCCACAGTGCAGTCTAAACTACACTTAAAGAAAGGGACAATAAGAACTGAAGGACTTGCAGCAAGAAGGGCCCAGCTCAATTTTGGTAGATTTTGTTTATGTTCATGGGTCTTTTTTGTTTTAAAAAAAGGTCGTTCGTTACATTGGAGTAGTCGTAAAAAAATCATTTTTACTAGTACTTTTAATGAGGACAAACGTTTAGAACATGAGTTAAAAAGTGATTTTCTTTTTAAATTTCCCGAAAATTTTAAAAAGTGGAGCTGGGCCCTACTTGCTGCAAGCCCTTCAATTTGTGTAAATAAATTAAGTTTTTTAATACTTTTCATATAGTTTAAAAAGATAAATAAGCAAGTCTAAGACTGTAGCCTAAAAGAAACAGACGTCCCTCTAAGCTGAATCCAATGCGTTATGAAGTACAGAATGGTACAGGTGTCGGACCTAAGTTATACATTTTTTTGATAAGTTTTATTCTGTAAATTTGTGACGAGTTGCTGGTAAGTCAGCTGAGAGATGAGTTAGTGTAAAGCATTAATCATCATGAGATATTTATTAGTGCAGTCGTTTTGAAATAACAAATATATACCTTGTTACTTCAGTTGTACAGGTTACACTCATTATTATCTTCACAAGTGTCATTTGCTCTTGTTTCAAGAGGACCGCACTTCTAAGTATCTCATGATGATTACTAACGTACCATGATCGGTTGAATGACCGATTGCTAACTTTTGATTGGAAAATTCTCACGGTGTTATCACTTTTTATCAATCCGTCATTTTTCTATAAAATATATACAATCAGTTTTCTGTGTGTATTTGATTTTTCTTTATTCTGATAAAGATGTGTAGTTTATTGTTATCTACCATGACTGCTCCTGTGACCGTCGGGAAAAGTATTGCTTTAAAAAGATAATCAAATCGGAAAACGTGATGAACAGTGACAATAGTAATGAATGATGAATGATGAACAGTAAAAATAGACATAAGTGAAGGCACACTTTTTATTGCCTCATAAAATGGAGGGAAAAATCTTAAAATTCCGTATTTTTGTCAAAACATATCTTTAGATTATTATAAAGATAATTACAATATGCTAAGTTCAAATTAATGAAAAATAAATGGAACATTTCGGCCCTTCAAAATCAAGGACAAATGTGAAAGCACAGTGATGAAACTATCAGAATAAAATGTAGTCAAATACCTATGTAGTTTTTGATAGTAGCCTTGAGCTTATTTGGCATGGAATTCATCAATGTTTTCTTTATTTGAAAATAATTTTTGTCGTATTCTTCAGGTATCATATTCATTCAGTATATCATATTCCCTTATCCTAATGTCATCAAGCTCTTTCTAAAAATATTCGATAGAATTTTAGCCGGAATCGAATGCGAGGCTTGAGAGCATATAGACCACACTCGGCCACTGGTGGGCTCAAGTTTCGTGGTTAAAATTAATTTTAACAAGTACAATAGTTTTCTTATTTTGCAGCTAAGTGAAACCTCGCGTAACAGCGAACGTTGTATAGACAGTGTCCATGAAAGTCCTTACCCGGCCTTTGTTTTTGCAACTGTTGACGGTAGACACACACAAATTATACGCCGGGAACCAGTTTTTGTTACTGGTACCAACTTTTAATAATAATGAAAATTTTCATTTATTTTTAATCTAGAAACGTTTAGCCTTCATCGAGCTCTAAAACACTTGGTTTTGTCTATTTTCAACTAAGCTTTCTTCTACATTTTAAAACTTTTAAATGTTTGAAACACTTTTTAAATGTTTACTTGAGTTTTTATTTTTGTTTGTTCTAATACCTTCTAGAGGGCAGTACTAATCAGGCATTCTATTTCTAATTGAATTCCTCCCCCCCCCAGGTTTTATGAATATTCGCGCCATTTTACATAAGATACAAGACAGTGAGAGATCTTCAACGTCTACTCAGCAGAAAAAGAGAAAAAATGAGGTTGTGAATTGGAAAGACAAGAAAAATATACTTTTGATGAGTACGGTCAATAATAACTCTGTGATTGACGTTGAAACACGGAAAAGAACTGTAAAAAACCAATAATTGTAAAAGATTACAAGAACAAAATGGGAGGAGTGGACCGCCTGGATCAGATGTTATCAAATTAATCCTGCTGTTAGAAATAAGCAGAGATATTATTACTTTTCCATTATGCTTTATTTCCTTATTTTATTTAATATTCATTTAAATTCATTCACTACGAAAGTTATGTATGTACAGAGAAAACAACATTACACGCTGCGAAAAACAAAGGGCCGCTGAGGAGAAATTTTCGCGGGCAGGAGAGGACGGCGAAAGGGTTAAAAGGAATCTTGAAGAATTATGTTCTAGCCAGGGCCCGACTTAAAAAAAGGCTCACGGCAAAAACTTTTTTGGGGCCCCCTTCTGCTTCGCTACTTCAGTAATAAACAAGCGAACTTTTGGGAGATATTTAAATTTTTATAATAATAAACTTTCTATTCGATTTGGGGCAAAGAAAGTCTATGTAAAGAAGGAAAGGCTCCATAGACGTAATGTAAACCAGTTTGTCTTCTACGCCGCTAGAAAGAAAAGGGACAATTCGCCAGGGGATTTGGCGACGGAATCTGTTGGCGAGAATTTCCCCCCTTTGTGATGTACCTGGCCGAGATTTCCCACATCCGCCACGTGTACAAGAAATTGAGGAACACTGGTTAAGATGAATCGTTCTTTGACTTTACTCGAATTTTCGTGCTTTTTTGCTTTACTAGTTGAAGTTGTATTATCCTTATCGCAGTTTGATGTCTGATTTTATATCTGTCAATATCTAGAGAAAAAAAATGGAGTTACACAGCTTTAAACTCTTGATAAAAGTGACCGTCGAACCTTTTAGAACTTCGACATCAGCTTCGAGCTGTGGCGGTTTTTGGCGACAGATATTTCACGCATGCGCAGTTGTGTCCCTTTCGTTTGGAGGGAGCCACTCCTGCTGCTGCGAAGCTTTCCTTCTTAACAATACATATTCTTTGTTTGGGGGCCCTTCTGTCAGAAGCGTAGCTAGGGTTTTCAGCGCCCAGGGACAACTAAAGATTTTGCGCCCCGTTTCTGTATCCCAAGAATGGAAATCATTTCGTTCTAATATTTCATAACGTCAATTTGGCGCCCCCTGGATGCTGCGCTCGGAACAGCTGTACTTCCTCGCCCCACCCTAGCTACGCCACTGCCTTTTATGATAAGGAGGCGTGGGGCAGCTGCCCCGTATGCTCCTGACTTAGTCAGGCTCTGCTTCTAGCCTTTGTGAAACTAAACAGAGATCAGAAGAAGGGTGTATAAGACCCTTTTATTTGAGCATAAAATTAACAAATGACCCAACTTGGGTTCCAGGAAGGCAACACTTCTGGCGTAATAGACATGCGTAACAAATAATAATTTCGAGGCGTGTAGGTTAGCCTAACAGCTCACAGAATGCTTTAACGCGCAGGAAACGCTGTGGTCTGTAGTAACCGGCGAGACAAGCCTAAAGGCGAAAACACATCAACGCCGCTGACACAACTCGCTAATAATCGCTGCACAACGTGGCCTGGAAATAGGCAGACACGCTTCAAAACTTAACTTCCCAAACTCTTGCTTAAATAGCACTTCTTTCTGTTTTAATCTGAATAAACGCTCGTTTTCTCATTGACATTCTGGCATGGAAAGCGGGGGTCTAAATTGCGAAAGTGTGTTTGCGTTTGTAAGCCAAGCTCCGAAGGCTTTAGGCTTCCCCGAAGGCTTTTTTTTAGGCTGCCCCGAAGGCTGGATTTTATGTTAAGAGCGACCTAACTGCTGAATACTTGAACGAGAGCTGCACTCCAGGGAAAGGCCTCGAGGATTTTGGTTTTTGTCATGTGTAACGCAAACACGAGTTTTTCTTAAAACACTTCACAGATGATGGAATCTCTCTTACACAAAGACGTCTAGCGTAGTTTGCTGTAATCTACAGAGTGAAATTATATTCTACAGTAGTTTTCCACTGTCACATTTAAAGAATTAACACAAGAATAAGAGGTTCAGAAAACATTTTATTAACAGGACATGCTCAAAGAAATTGCTCAAAAGACTAGCAAGTAAGATTTCACTAGCCGTTTCGCGAAGATGAAATGTTGACGATTACATAAACTGCGAAATAAAACGTAAACAACAACATACGCTCATATGCAAAGTTTCAAAGTCACAAGAGCAATAAAGCTCATTGGTCCATTTTTAAAACCCCTCCCTCACTGGCTATATTAATGTGCACTTGTGCATTATGTTCCCGGTTCTCGCACGCTGAGGTAATTTTTGGGGACGTCTGATATCTAATACACATCTTCATTTGGCAAATTTTAAGTCCATGATTTTCCTCGGAAACACATTATAGATAAGGAACAACTTGCTTGTTGTTAAATTCTCTCTCTGCGATATACTTTGACGATAATTTCCTCTACATTCCAAATTTATGGTGTTGTAAGTTGCTTTTTTGTGAAACTTTACCAATGAGAATTCAACACTGTAGAATATTAAAATGATGTTTCCAGATGTTTCATAGTTCTGTGTCAAGTTACCTCAAAACGCTTTTGAAGATTATTGTTGACGGTTAAGTATTCATTATTCGAGACACCCCACCCCGTACATTTATATTCAGAAAATTTGCTCGTGAACTGATTTTTCGTAAGGAGAACGTTTCTAAACCGTTTTTCTACTGCACATTTCACAGAAATTTATATGAAATTACTACACATTATGTTAGTACTTTCCTATTACGGTCGTCATTATTGAAACGTCCCCAAGATTATTGCTAAATCTTCAACAGAAGCGACTTGGCTCTAATCAAGGTCACTTACGAGAATATTTCCTAATTATTACGGTTTCTCATTTTATGCTTATTTTTGTATATTCAAGTGTAAGATAATATTTCTCTTTATTTTACATTTAATGGCACAAATACTATATGACAGCTCCCTCATTCCCAGATAAATGAAAAATTGATATATTTTGGAAAACGAAAATGAGGTAAAAATATAAGGATAACAGTTGGCTAATTCAAAACAAAAATCTTCTCCCAAACAGTTAGACTGATTAGGCCAGCCGGCTATTTGTGTAATGATTGCGATAAACGTTGTCGACTTCTCGACGTCCCTGAAACAACAGCAGCGTAATTATAAGCAAACAAAGTTATTTTTAAAAATTTTTCTTTATTCAGATAAATTAATTTAAATTGATGCAAGGACGTTGGAATAGAAGTTAATGTCTAAATTTTTGTCATGACGCTTCAATTCAAAAAATATTTCACAATTGAAAAAATATTAGAACTATGCGTGCTTCCATCTGGTGAGAATAAAAGGAAGTGCAATTTGAGGAATGAATCTAATACGAAATTGCCACAGTGTCCGTTTCCCTCCTTCCCAAGAAAAACGAATTCTTTGCTTTGTAGAGTCCAATAGATGAACTTCTGTCTGAAACTGGAGTAGCAGGAAACTACACAAGAGAAGGGTTAACGTACCCTTTATTAAATCTTTGAAAATTTACAATGCGTCAACTCGACGCTAACAGACTTCGCCTCTGCTTGGGCGGTAACTGAAAATCAGTTAACGAAACTAAAAATTTGAAGATATTAACAAACGATAGAACTAGACTACAGGGCTTAGCGGGATCCCGTAACATAAACCCTCTTCGAAGCTAGTGGTCGCAAATAAATGCAGTTAAGCCACATGAGCCTAACTTTCTCTCTCTCCTACCGAAACTCGACTTTTAAGTACTTTCTACAAATTAGAAATTTTCATTCCTTCACGCACACTACAACATTTAACTATTCTGGCACTCACAGTTAGGGGAATGCAGGCTTATAGGAAAGTTTGAACTTTAAATTGTTAGTTAAGAAGATAAATATAAATCCCTATAGCTTTATCAAAATGGTCTTCATAGCTAATAACAGATAATGATGTGCAGCGTGTATATTTGTTAGAATTTAGTATGTTAAAAATTGATGCTATATTACAGCATCGATTTCAACCCGAGAGAAATTATTTAGACTTATTTGTTAGATTATAAGATAAACAAATAGTTTCTTGCTTATAATAGATTCCTCTGCTCTTTAGTGTCTTAGCCCAAAGGAAATCCTCGAAACCTTCGGAATCGACTACAAAAGCAGTTTGAATCCAGTAAGCTTTCTTCATTTGTGTCCGGCCATCATTTACGAGTTGGACCAAAGGCACTGCATGTTCCAAGACTATTCGCACAAGAAGGTTATAAACATTGTCACCGTGGACCGTAAGTCGTATGTTCTCCTTGTTGATGATTTATTATGTTTCAACCTTTAGAAAGGAGGAAAAAAAATAATCGTCAATGAATTGATATTAATTTCTAATTGATAACAATTCAAGAAGATTTCGAAGTTTTTATTTCATATGTAACTCAGATATTAGGCGATGATCCTAAGAAAATCCTCTAGGAAGATTATTTTCCTTTTCCTTAGGTATCTGTCGCATGTTTCGTCTTAAATTCCGAAGTTAATCGCTAAAGCATCAGTACAAAATCCGAAATCCAGATCTAAAATCTGGACCTCAAAACCACTAATAGCGTTTTTTCTCGTAGGCTTTACGCATGCGCATTTGATTCCCCCTCCGCGCATAATAAAACATCTGAAGAGTCCCAATTCTTAAGTTCACTTCGACACTAAATAAAATACCTTGTTATTGAAGAAACAATTATTTTAGCGTAAATTTGTACGATCAATAATTTGGCTCAGTGGCTGCGTATCTGCTAGGCACACATCTCAAACCGAAACATTCCACATAGATACATCGTTGATCTGACACCAACCTAAATCATTATTTATTATACTACTTTCCTTTTATCACCGCATGTTTATCAAAACATGACAACTTGAGTCATGACTCATGTAGCGATATCTAAACAATTTTCTTATGTTAGTAACTGAATAATAAAGGACTATTGTAATCGTTTATGATTACAGATTTAAGTTAAATGCGCTAAAAAAATGCTGACGAGGAAAAATTTACCAAAAATTTTTTTCCATATGCTAAAAATTGATTTTGTTGATGATGCTCATAGACCGAAAGATTACATTTAGGGCTTCTTGAATTAATAACTGATTTGTTATTCACATAAACTCAGAGCTCGTATGGTCGCACCGAGTCGCAGAAATTAGGACCCGCAGAGACTGCACAAGCGGTAAGATATCTAGCGCCAATAAGGCTTAAGTATATGTGGGAATTTATTTATTCAGAACTCTGATAAGCCTTAAAGCATGTGAAAGAAATAGACATAAGTATAGTACCTAAACTAATACAATTCAAGCTTAATTGTCGGAGTGCGCGATAGAAGAAAGATAAAATTGAACGGAACAGTTTGTCGTTAGTCGCCAAGCTCATGATGTATAGCCAAATGTGTACAGTGAAGGATATCTAAATTTGATGATGATAGCCTCTAATTTTAAAGGCTTTCGGATATCGCAAAACAAAGGCGAGTTTTTCCAATTAACGGATTTTGTAAGGAAATGTGGAGAAGCTGTAATAAATGAAGATGATGTGAAAGAAGGGTGAAAGTTTACAACTGGGTTCCCCTTGTTTATTTGGTGATTATTTTTTGATGCCAAGATCGGCGCCAGGAAGGCTGAACAAAATTTGTCGCCAATCGAAGGGGCACCCAATTCTACACTAGAGTCAAAAGAAGTTTTTCATTGCGATAGCAATGCTTCTCAATCATCAATCAATTAGTGAATGGCGAAATCTGTAGTATGGTTCTAGATCCAGAAATTACCGCTACCGATATTGAAGAAAGTGACAGAGAAGTTACTGGAAACGAGAAAATTTCGATTGATAAGTTAGTCGTTACAGGACTTCAACAATGTAACTGAACAAGAGATTATGTCTGTCTACAGAATTAAAGAGAAAGTATTAGGACAAAAAACGAAAAAAAAAGCAACTTAAACAACTTGCATTGAAAGAGATGTTCAATAAGGTAAACAAACAAATATTAAGCTTTTTTTTTGTAAGTTTTTGATACCCTTTAGATCATAAATACTTCATTATTTCATAAATCACGATTTCATATTTTTAATTTATAATTTCTACATGCCATTTTACTAAATTTAAACTGGAATAAGGAAGTTATAAGGAAGTAAAAAGTGGAAAAATACCCGAGGAAATGTTAAGGACGTTTATCTAAATATCTGATGTAGTTAATTGGGATTATTTTTGTTTTCAGAGTGGTTGTATTCCAGCGTGGCCGTGGTGGCTATCAGCCTTTGCGGTTTGTTTAGCGTTGCAGTGATTCCCATTATGCAGAAATGGTTCTACCAAACACTTCTACAATTCTTAGTGGGATTAGCTATAGGAAGTCTGTCGGGAGATGCACTACTTCATCTCATGCCTCACGTGAGTAACACCGCAAAACTACTTTAGAATAATTCTTTGCTTCCATTTTATTATAATTCTGTGTTTCTAATAAGAAAAAATAATTTAGTATCGTAATCATCAGATGAAGTTGAGATTCCTTAAACATTAAGACTGTTGGCTTTTCTACAGTTTTCTTGGTTCATTAGCCGTTTTCAAATTAATGCATACTGACTAAAAGGCATAATACGCATAGCTGTGATGAGAACTCGATATCTCTTCTGTGTACAGAATTGAACATACTTAAACTAACAGTACATTATAAACCGGAAGATTTCTGGATTATGCAATAAAATTAAAGCAAGAAGCAGAAATGAGCAAAAATTGTGATTTTTGACCGTAGTCGGCACGCGATAGATTGTTTATTCTATTTTACAAGTATTAGCAACAATAATATCGTTGGCCTATCATCACGTTTAGAAAAAAATTACATTCCGGCGTTCATCCAAGAAACAGATCACGAGAAAGGCAAAATCTGGGTAAATGAAAGCCAGCTGTAGCACCATAAAATATCATCGAAAGTACTGCACAGTGTTTCTTGTATTTCTTTCGCTATGAATTAAAGCCTTTACGCTTATATCACTGTTAAGCCTTTGCGCTTGAGAGTTCACCTCTCGCTCATCATTGATTTGATGCCGCAATTCGGAGAGGTGACTCTCGCTCACCACTTGGTTTGATGCAGAAACTCGGCAATATGTGTTTACGTTTGGGTTCTTCGAAGCGGGTTCCTACGTTTCTTCTGTGTAATCTTATGAAGTGTAAGATGAAAGCCCTTTAATGGGAGAGGATATTTTATTATCTGAAATCTTAGCTTCTCTTATCTATCACAAAGTTCTCACAGAAATGAACCCGGAAGGGCATCAAGCAACACTTTCATTATAATACTCGCGTCTACAAGCCGAGCCTTCATTTTGAGAACTGTAACACGAAATATACACAGAAAAATTGCAGCGACTAATATTGAAGAAATTATGATTAAACAGGTGTAACGCTATATAAAATGTTAATATTTAAAAATTTTATACATTTGAGTGTGTAATGATTTTAAGTTACTGGTAAAAAAATGCGTCAAAAAGGCTGCGAAACGGCTCGAGTTGCTGGTGTCCCGCGCGAAGAAATCCCCGAGTACAAAGGGTTACTTTACCAGATCATCATATAATACTCTCCCTATTGTGCCGATTCTGTTAAAAGTCTGGATAGGGAACAGACTGCAGGTGCGACGAAGACAACCCGGAATAATATATTGCTCCTATTAAATAGGCTCGTCTAACAGTAGTAAAAAGGTTAAAAACCATCGAACACTTGTAGTTTGACCCTGGCTCGAATACGGAGAAATAGGTTGCCTGTAGCGTTCCTTTCGGTGGCTTTTCCCATGCGTAATCTCAGCAGCCGAGCGGTAAAGTCGCTGAACACTAGTAGTTCGGTCCGAGGTTCGAATCCCGCGAACGGGCTGGCTGCATGGGCGTTTTCGTGGTTTTCCTCATGTGTAACGTGTATACGAGCCAGTTTCCCTTAGAAAGGTCCTCCCCTTAGGCAGATAGCCCTCGAGGCTTTGTCATAATCACACACACAAATACACTCATGCGTAATCTCAATATGAACCAGTCCCTTTTAACACGTTGAGCGCGGCGCCGAATTTGCTGTCCTTTCCGTTCAGCCGGCAGCGAGCTAAGCGGTATTTTTGTTTGGAATGTTTCAGTACATTTCATTAAAACTAAATTTGATCACATTTCATTGACTATATTTTTTAACTTTAATGCTGTCGGTCCCTAGGACCGACGCCAGCCAAACGAAAATTCCAGTACCGGTCCCCAGGGACCGACGCCGGCCACACGGAAAGTTCACTGCCTGTCCACAAGGACCGGCACCGCCCTCAACGTGTTAACAGTTAATGAGAAATTTTAGACCACAAGGGATAGTTGCCGTATGATGCTTTTAGGAATGTTTAAGAAATTAATACAATAAAATTTGTTTTTAAAGAGCCATAAACAGAACTGAAATACTTCTTACTGATACGTTAACAGATTCAAAAGAATTACAAAACGAGCAGTCTCGAAGTCGTTCATGAAAAAAAGGGACTACCAGCAGCCAAGCGATAAAATCACTGAACACTGCGGTAGTTCGGTTCGAATTCTGGTCTGGCTGCAAGGGCCACGGGTCTGGCTGCACTGGCCAGCCGTGGTTTTTCCCATGCGTAATGTGTATACGAGCCAGTTTCCCACAAAGACACCCCTTCCCTTAGGCAGTTGTAACAAATCATGGTAGAATTCCGGAGTATCTCAGTAGATTCGGTATAGAGGAAAATTCATTATGCTTAGGTTATAGTTCACCTGGCTCCGCAGGGCACTTCCGCGTTTGAATGTAAATTAACAGAAAGTGTACGGCAACAAATGAAAATGGCAAATTTTGAAAATATAAGCTATAATAAATGACGTAAGTTTGCCAAAGAGATTGTAGGAGTTATTAGCGGTAAACGGAATGCATGTGGTGTTTTTATATAATCAAAATTATAGCTGTATTAACTAAAAATTGTCTTTTATTGTATTTTTATTTCCATTTTAGAGATTTTATAGATTTGATTTGGAGTATTTACTTATAATTTTATTCATTTTGACGTATTCAGATACCTATTTTATGCCTTGCGATTTTTTAATTCTATATGACCTTGTTTCTCTTTATTTGATATGTGTTAATAGTTTGTGTTTCTAGTTTGTGTTTCTAGTTTGTGTTTTAATGTTGTGCTTGGTTTTTGTGGTGAACTTAGAGGTGACCCAAACAAGATCATAAGGTCCGTTTTCAGACCAGGTGGATCGGGTTGTATTCTTCTTATTTGTAACCCCCGAGGCTTTGACATAATCACGCAATAATTAACCAAACCAAAACCTTCATGAAGACATCGCGCCCTTAGGCAGATAGCTCTTTCGTGCTTTGTTGCATCCAAACAAGCTAGGTTGCTTAATTGACAGTGATGATGTCTCTGCAGGCATTTTCTTCAGAAGTCTCCTGATATATCTGAGACCTTTGACGGTTCCCAGATCTTTCTGCTGCTTTTCTGCGTTCTTCGAGGAATAGTGGGCCCAAGACAATGCATTCAGCAACAAAGGAACATAAATCATACAAATAAAGGCTCACGCAAGCAAAACTTAAAATGCTGCAAATTTAAATGCGATCAAAATAATCAGTGCTCATTTTTGCGGTTGGAGGAGAACATTAGAATGAAACTGTTTGCATAGCTGTGATCAGAACTTGACATCTCTTCTGAGTACAGAACTGAACATGCTTAAACTAACAGGATGATTTCTGGATTATGCAATAAAATTAAATTATATTACTCTATATACTCTTCATCAAGTAGAATACCAGCGGTTGGCATGCAATGGTGAATGCTAAAGGATGCATTTTTAGATAGATTTCGAGGTCAGATAGGTCAGTGCGTTTAAAATGACCGAATATTTTACGTACTAGTTTCACGTGAGAAAACTATTATTTTTCGAAATTGCTCTTCGTAAAGAGGCCAGTAATGACAATTCTGAATTTTTATAAAATTAAAAAAGATTCGGCTAATCTTTGGAATGTGGTGAAAGGTAGTTTGGCGACATTTTAGTAAGGCGATAAAGGTTACTAGCTAGGACTTTAGCAGTGTACATGGATAAAGTCAAGAGTGTGCGCAATGCCATTTTTGTGCAATTCTGGGATGTTTTTTTAAGTGAAAATAGGTCGACGTGCACATGAATGATACCGTGTATGTGCAATTCTTAAAAACGCGGCAAGCAGTGGGGGATTCTGTACTTTGCCCCAATTTAGCATCTAATCTTCGTCATGATTAAGCACTTTTGTTCCATAAAAGTTCTAGCATAAGCGTAATTCGGCTAGCAGATTGTTGGAAAAAAATGTTGAGGGAAAAAAAAATGCCTTTACTTCGTGAAAACAAAATGGCGTCCAAACAAAAAACTAGCAGGTTGCTGTAGCAGGGTTGGTCGCCAAAGTGTCGCCAAAAAATCGCCAAGTTACCATAATACAAAGATTAACCAAAGATTCTGTTATATATTATGTTTGTGAGACTCTCTTACACAAATATGTACAATTTTATAAATAGCTAACACAGTATTCAACAATAAGAATTATTAAGCACACGCTTTCGGAATCATTCCATCTAATATCCTCTTTTGAAACTGCGTTTTTCATGCGTAAACAATATCAAAAATGTATTTTGAAAAGTTAGAGTGCCGAAGTCGCTACCTAAATCCTAGAAGTGTTGATTCGGAGCAAATATTACGTTAACGTAAAGCCATTGTTTTTAAAATGTTTTTGATTGGACCTGTAAACCTCGACCTTTCTCTATATTTAGTGTATCCTGATAATATCTGCGTTATTGTGATTTGGTTTAATATATAATTTAAAAACAGTGTTTCGAAAATTACTGTCTAATTTGTATTGATTTTCTTTATTTCCCTCTTTTAACCATACCTTTTTGCTTTCATTATGGTCTGAAATTCAAACTTTATTTACAGGCGATGCTTGGCGGCGAAGGAAGTCACGATCACGATATTGCCTCATCTCTCGAAGTGGCCGAGAAAACTGCTGTTTGGCGGGGTTTCACTGCACTTGGCGGAATTCTCTTCTTTTTTGTCGCCGAAAAACTATTAGCATCTCTTACTGTTTACAGGAAGCAGAAGAAAGATGCCAGTTCGACGAAAGCTGTTTCTCCCGTTCAAAGCGCTTTGCTAGAGGGATCTGTGGGGCAAAAGCTATCTCAGTATAGGAAAAATTCGTACGATTATCAAAATAAAGATGAGATGATAAAAAGTAAGTTAAATGCGTTTGAGATAGCTTCATAACTTCCTTGATCTAATAGAAATACTTAGTACTCATCGATTATTGGTTCTGATCTTCAAAAATTTTCAAATGAATATTTTTCTTAGTTAGTTGCAAGGAGTATATATTAAGAATTAGGAAGCTTTATATTTACTCCATACAAAGCTGACATCTATATCACGAGTGTTATGAATGTATTCTGCATAAATGAATTTGATACTTCCTTATTATTGCAGCGCCCGTTATTTAAATGACGCCAAGATTATTTATAAATCTCGAACTACATTGGTGGATAAAATTAAGAGATGTAAAACATTTTCCCGCATTTCTCTTAAAATACCACACAAAACCTGGACAGTAGGCTGCCATAAAATGTCACTGTGGTGCTGGTGTGACTGAGAGGAGTTTACCCATTCCTGTGGGTGTCGCTACGCCAGCATAAAGTATAAAACTCCTCGTCCAGCTGCTCAGTTCATTAAGCTCTGCAATACAAGAGTGAATTTTATCGTCTTTTTTGAATAATCTTGTTGTTTTGTGCTGTTTTTTAGGTGAAATGAGTACACATCGCTTAAACAAAGAGAGATGGAGAATCGTGGGTAGGCAGAGCAGTCCCAAGCTCAGGTTGCATGAGAACTGGATGTAATACAGAGTGTCATCTCTCATTTGTGGAATCAGTTTAAAAACAACGGGACAATATCCAGAAAACCAGGATAAGGTTACCCGAGAGCCACAGTGACCAATGACGACCTGTATTCGGTACTTTCAACCAAGGACTAGATGACGTCTGCAGCCACACAACTGTCTCGTGACCTCGCTACTGCCACAGTAATATCAGTTTCAAGGAAGATAGCTGCAAGAAGATGCCTCCTGAGACAGGACTGTATACTAGAAAGCCCACTGTTTGCATCCCACTCCCTCCCACAAAAGACAGCATACAACACCAATACAATTTACAATGGCGCATACAACACCAACACTCAGCACATCCTTATTGGGCTAACGCTGTCTTCATGAGACCGGATGCAGTCTACAATCTGATTCTTGGGGATTATTGATATGGTGAGAACTTCAGACCCAATACCATCCCAGCAACATCATGGAAACAGACCAATACGGTGGTGGAAGAGTGATGGTCTGGGTACGGAACATGCAATATGCCCGCACACCGCGCTATGTGTTTGACACTGGTTTCGTGAATGCCGAGAGATACAGGCAGGAGATCTTAGAACCCTACGTGCGAAATTTCAGAGCTGCTGTTGGCCCTGAGTTCATTTTTATGGACAACATATAGGGCCCACCTGGTAGATGACTAGAAGAAAAGCGAGGATTGGATTGACCAGCCAAATCTCCTGACCTTACTCCTATTGAACATGCTTGGAATGCTCTTGGGAGGGGTATTGTAATACGGCAAACCTCATCCAAAACCATTCAGGAGTTAAAAACAGGTGGAGTTAATTCAGGTGGAGGAGTGGGTGCGACTTCCACAGGCAGAGGGCACTCCTGAACTCTCTAGTTAACAGCATGGCTACTGATTGTGCATGTTGTCTGCCTATCAGAGGTGACCATACATCATACTAGCCACATTTTCACTGCCATCTTTCACCCTCAAGTTTGGACCATATTGCACTCTTGGCCATAACTCATGCTGATTTTCATCGTTTTTTGTGCACATTGTCATACAATAAACTATACCCAATTTCATTTATTTCTATCGGCCCCCGAGCGGTCAAGTCGAAGAACAGTGGTAGTTCGGTTCGAAGTTAGAACCCCTCGAACTCGATGGCTGTATGGGCGTTTTTGTGGTTTTCCCCATGTGTAACATATATATGAGTCAGTTTCCCTTAGAAAGCCCTTCCTCTCCTTAAGCAGATATCCATCGAGGCTTTGCCATCATCACATAACTCAAAACCCTTTATTTATATCCAGTATTTCTCGAGATATAAGGGAAAAAGTGCTCCATCTCTTAATTTTGTCCGCCGGTATATTATCAAACGACCGGCAACCCTATCAATTGTCATTTATTTCGAATAATTTTTTATCTGTTTCCATTACAGCTCTCGGATCTGAGACACGAAAAGAGGCGCCTATTAGTCGTTCCCTTTCTATTCTTCGTATTTTGTCTTTTTTTCCATGCGTGATGATAAGGGACTAAGTCTGTGACGAAGTATGTCATTAATGATGACCTGGTGAAAGAAATGTTTAAGGGGAAGAAAGGAAAACTCAGGTTAAAAAAAATGCAGGTGGATATTTATGAATTATTCTAAGCAATTTTATGCCAAATATTTAAAAAACATTGTCCGTTGCATTAACTAAAATCGAACTTTTGTACAATTAGAATCTGTGATTATGTTTGATTGGAATTTCTAGAAGCATTTGACTATAAACTCCTACTTCTCTCGAGAGCGGCCATTTCGAAAAATTAGTTATTGGAATCTTCTGATCTGAATCACGTGACTGATAGTATGAATTTTCCTTACGAAGCCTTAATATAAATTATAAACCGGCCCGATATAAATTTAATTGGGGTTTTCTCGAAGACATTAAATGCGAAGTAAGTATAATAATCATAAATGTACGCATGTAGCCTTATTTCGTATAATTTTAATACAACTGAAGAAACAAGGAAGAGGACAAAGTAATATTAAGTTAGGATTGATATATTTTTCTAACACACGCTAAAAATTTGCTAGTACTTTATTTTAACATTTCTGTAGTGGATGGTTTTTCATTCGAACCTGAATTTGAAAAACTTCAAGATCTTGGAATTATATTACGTTATTCTTCTCCGCCTGTTTTGTTAAGTCAACTAATAATCTTAATCAAAACTCTGTAAAAATATGATTCATAATTTCCTTTATAACAATCAAAATGCTGAAAATTAACATGAAGTGTGTGCTAGCTCTTCAAATATATTTCATTCCGGTAAATATTTGAGATCCATTATTTTTTCTGATATTTGACATAAATAAGTCTATCAAATTAATGTGGATGTGATAACATAACAGGCCCTCCGATAGCCGAATAAGAGACCTTGGCAAAAGTCCTGGATACGAATCCCAACAAAAGAGCTGACAGCATTAAAGTTTTTGTGTCTGTTGATGCTCCTATGTAACGTTGATACCAGTCAATTTCCTTTTAAGTCCCTTATTTTTAGGCAGATAGTTTTCATGTCTTTCACGTATTCAGGTAAAGATGTTTTCAATTTAAAATTTAGCTGTGAGAAGACACTGATTACCTCAGTCACTGTAAATGCGTGTATTCATTCAATTATTGGCAGGAGAACGTTAGTTAAAAATGTTTTCATTTTCTCAATTTATTGTCTGATTTTTTTTAGTGATGCAGGTCGATTCATGCGCTCAGTCCCATACCGGACAGGATATGACGTATTCGGCTTCATCATGTCATAGAGACCCATTGGACTCTTTCGATGTCGAAATTTTGCAACCACGAGGTCATGGGCATAGCCACGACGTGCCACATACCGTTACCGCTGTGGCATGGATGGTCATAATGGGAGATGGCCTACATAATTTCTGTGATGGACTGGCTATAGGTAAGTACTAACTGAAAATTGCTATTAGAAGATTATAATGTTTTATTAACTTCCATGTATTATTACTTTACGAGAGCTGTATTATTACTGAAATGTATGAGTTTACGAGAAATATATTACGAAATGTAGTATTTTAAGAGAAATGTATTATTACGTTTTCTTGTCACACGAATAAAATGCGCGAATTTGACAATTTATGAACATGGATTTAGATATATAATAAAGCAAAGATGAACTACTGATAAATTTCTAAACGTGCCTGTAGATCCTTTAGGTACTGATCAGGAGAAAGCGGATGTGCCTCGCGAGCAAGTCACACGATAGACGAAGATCCTGGACCAAAATGATATGGAAAAAATCCAGTGCTCTGGTACATTCCTATGCATTAGCAGGAACAATGGCATATATGCTAATCTAACTGTAATTCAAATTATTTGAAAGCTTTCAAACTACAAGCTTTAACAATAGTTTACTGAAAACTTGAATATTTTGTTTGAATTATTCATAAGAACTAGCAAGTCTGCCCTAGAAACATGAAATAAAATTAATAGTCCTGCTCCAGAGGACATACCAGCTGGCTATGTACAATAATTAGTTATTTTATATGAAATATGAATATGGAAAACTTAATAACTAAATCCATTAAATAGGATGGATGTCCGCCAATAACATCGCGGCAAAAACATCGTGGACGAAAACGTCGCGGAGAAAACAACGCAAGGTAAAAACGTCGTGCTACAAAACATCGTGGGAGAAAACATCGCAAAGAGAAAACATCGCAGTTCTAAAACATCGTGGTACAAAACATCGTCGTCGAAAATAAATCAAAAACTTCGCAGCGTGGTGGTAAAAAATAAAGTATCTACAAATCATCGCATGACGATAACATCGCAGACATGCTTTTTTTCAGGTTTTAATAATTGTAAATGGATATTCCCATAATGATTTGTGAGCGCAAGGTGTAAAGAAGGATAATTTTACTTTCACATATTTTATTAACTTAATAAATTTTTGCTGAAAAACGTAAGAAGGAAACTTAAGCATAGAAAATTAAATGCAAACTTATTAGCTTATACTTTTCATGAAAATAGTACCTAGTAAAAACTTTATAAAAATGATTTATTAATGGCCATTGTTAGTTAACTATGTCGGTTTAAAATTTTATTAAGTGCTATCAATGTTGCATTAATTGTTCTATGCTTAAGTTTCCTTCTTGTTTTCTCAGCAAAATGTATTAGTTAATAAAAAATATGAAAGTAAAAATTATCCTTCTTCCATCTTGCGCTCACAATCATTATGGGAATATCCATTTACAACTTATTAAAGCATGCCTGAAAAAAGAATGTGTGCGATGTTATCGTCATGCGATGATTTGTAGATACTTTATTTTTTACCACGATATTTTCGACGACGATGTTTTTAAACTGCGATGTTTTTGAACCGCTTTATTTTCGACGACGTTTTGTACCACGATGTTTTAGAACTGCGATGTTTTCTCTTTGCGATGTTTTCTCCCACGATGTTTTGTAGCACGACGTTTTTGCCTTGCGTTGTTTTCTCCGCGACATTTTCGTCTGCGATGTTTTTGCCGCGATGTTTTCGGCTGTAACCGTAGGATGTATACAAATAACGACAGATGGGTTCACTATTGTTCGATTAAATCTTTCTGCTATGCTGTCCAATAGTGGATGTAAAAGAGTGGTTTGAGTCTTTTCCTACCCAGTATTCTACATGGTCTGTATGTAGACTATGTAAAATGGCGGTACGTAGACTATGAAAGAATGGTACGTAGACTATGAAAGAATGGTACGTAGACTATGTATACGGCAGATGTGAAATTTTTTCTTTGTCAGAATGAATAAGGAATAGGCACTCCAAATTGTAAAATCCAGTTTTCCACTAGAAGGATTTCTCTAATGAGGAGGTACACTGCACCAAAAAAAAAAAAAAAAAAAAAGGGGGGGGGGACAGTTTTATATCTTCCATTCTACTGGAACGATTGACGAAATTTATGTCTCGGAAGCACGACTTAGGATATGTATTAGATTTATATATACCATTTTTCTAATATAGGTATTTTGACATAAAATCGCACTTTTTCTGAAATGGCATGCGGATTTTGTTCCATATTTCGATTCTGCTATTAAAGTTATGGCAAACTGCGAAGTTTTGTAAAAATGGCTCGAGTAATTTTAAAAAAATTAGCTCTCAAAATTTTAACTTGCCATTGTTAAAATTGTATATATTTATTGAATTTGGTATATATTTATTATCTCTTTTTTTATTAAACTTATTTGATTCTTCCTTTCACATTTCGAAATTTAGGTTCATTCCAAACAAAATTCGCCCATTTTTTTAGGATTTTTTAAAAATAGTTTTTATAAATTTTTCGGAAAACATTTTGACTCTATGAAATGTTTACCATCATCTTAAAGTAGATGTTTTTCTTAAGCATAACTGCAAAAAATTAGTTTTTTTTTTTTTGAATATATTATATATATATATATATATATATATATATATATAGGCGCTTTTTGAAATTTGGCATATTTGTTGAAAGCGTTGTTGAAAGCGATAATTTGTTGAAAGCGTGAATGCACAGTGTAAAAAGGGAAAGGAAAATAGGTTGCTATATTTTAAGGCAGGGATGGGCAAACATTTTCGGTCGCGGGCAAAAATCGAAAACAAAAAGTTTGGCGGGCCAAGATAAATTTTTCTAAAATTTTTAAAAACAATATACAAATATTACAATTTAAATATGCTAATGACATGAATGAAATTTCGGTTTCATTTTTAAAATTTCCTTATATTGAGTTTTGAAGTGAGATGTACTGATTCTAAGGAACGAGGCTAAATGCTCATCTGTCAATCTACTTCTGAAATAATTCTTTCTAAAGTTCATAGTTGAAGACACTTATTCACATATATAAGATGAAGCAAACATAGCACTGATTTTCTGGGCGTGAGATGTTAAATTTGGGAAAATTACTTTCGATAATGATTTATAAAACTCTAGCATATTTAGAAGAAACTGCTTGAGATGACAGTTAGATTTCAACTGAGTTTCAACAAGCTGCAAATCTGACCTTACTGCTTCACAATTTACGTTGAAAGGCATGGTAAAATTATCCAGTTCTGTTTGATTGACACTGAAATCTTGAAATCTGCGTTTGAAATCAAAATGCTGTTTTTCAAGCTGTCTTCATAATTCTTAAGCTTCTCTTCATTCACTGAGGGTGTTGAATTTAACCTCGGAATGAGACAAGTCGTTCTTAGCTAGCTGCCCAGCAAACAGATTGTTTTCTTATTAAGTTTCAAGTTAAGATAATTAAGTTTTTCCTAAGAGGTCTAATTTACTTATATCAGATTACCATATGTCCGGTCCTCGAGAAAGATATAATGCTTGTTGGCGCCAATCTATAGCTATTATTAACAAAGAACTTCCGCTTTTAACACTTTACCGATTGAAAGATGCCTGTGCTTGCTATTTCCGACAATTTATGTTTTTAGAACAAAAATAGAGAAAGTAAAAAGATCATCAGCCCTTTGAAAAAAAGGAAGAAAAAATTATTTAAACAAAGTAGAAAAGGAGAGGGTATATAATATATAAATACATATTTCTTTTAATTTGCCTCGGACTGGCAAATTAAAATTCTATCCACGGGCCGGATACAACTTTCCGGAGAGCCGAGTTGGCTCGCGGGCCGTAGTTTGAGCACCCCTGTTTTAAAGAGTTCTCCAAGTGAATTTTTCTTGGTGCAAACTGAAAAAAAAGAGGAAAGATTTTGAATTTCTTCGTAAATTTCGCGCCAAATTCTACAAAATTTAATATTTAGGCACAATTTGAGTCGTAGAATCGATATATGTAATGAAATGTGGCATGCCATTTCAGAAAAAGGTCCGATTTGTGTCAAAATACCTGTATTAGAACAATGCTGTATATAAATATAATATATAACCTACGTTTCGGTTTTGAGACATGAAAAATGCAATTTGAATTTCGTCAATCGACCCACTACAACGGGGAGATATAGAACTGTCCTTTTTCCCCGCAGTGTCTAACTTCTTTTAGTTTACAAGTATAAAGTATCGGCAATCTTTTCGGACATTGCTCCTATAGTGCAATGCTGTAATCGTTCTTGTATGCATGCCTCCACATGTGTCATTCGATTTGCATAACTCTTCTCTTTGTCCTTATCCCAAAAGAAATTTTATGTCTTTATTTCACCGAAATAACCTTCTTCTGTGCAGCCTTGACAGAACACAAGGGACTCGAGATTTCAGCAAGATGCTTCCCATTTGCGATAGAAAACTCAATCTCATTGATGAAGGTAATCCCATCACGACCAACAAAATATTTCTTCTGGGATAAGGCGAAAACTGATTTAGAAAAGAGAAGCAAATCCTATGATGTATATGGAGTTCGTGCACAAGGAAGATAAAGGAATAAATTTCATGTTTACTATACAGAAAGGACTATGTATAAATCTCCCTGTGGAAATGACTTATGAATTTCATCATGGTGGAGAATCAGACATCATGGTGGAGACATTTGATCATACAAAATTGGACCATCTATTTATCTCATAGGCTACGCAAAATTGCCATTATTCTTGCTGACATATAGGAGCTATGTTTATGAGAAAGCGCAAGATTTTCTGCTCAGGCAGGTTTAAAACACGCTCATCCGACGAAGCGGGAGGGGAAGATCAACACAGCAACGGAAAGAATGAAGCTTCTCTCTCTGTATAGCTCTCTATTTCATTCTTTGACACTTTTTCTGTTGCAATCTTTTTTAAAGTAGGATATTTGAATTAACTCCCGAATTTTTTACACTTAAATGTAGGAGCTGCTTTTGCGTCTGGTGTCGAAGGAGGCATCAGTACTACTGTTGCAGTGTTTTGCCACGAACTTCCCCATGAGCTAGGTAAGTAAACCTTTTTACACAACATAACTTACGAACTATTACAAGGTGAATGTACGAATCTAGAAGGTCTGTATGCGAGGCGACCAACCATTTGCGTGCAGCTCATTTAACGTCATAGAAGTAAACGTTTGAGGTGAGCATATTAATATGTACACTGGACGGCTGTTCTCTTTATGGTTGAATTATAACGAGTTCAACCGAAAGTTATAATACGCATTATGATTTGGAGAAAGCCTGGAACCCGTGGGTTTTCATCCGCAGAGAACCCGTTGGCGTTTCGGGAAAGAACCCGTTGGCGCCGCTGCATTTTTACTCGCCAAGCTCGCGTTTCATCGGCAATGAGCCGAGCCACAAACGTGATTTTTAGTGCATGTAAATTCAAGTTAGCAGACAAAACAATATATTAAGCATATGGTAGTAAAAATTCACAGATAATAAGTATGTAGATGTAAAACTAACTGGTCAAACGTGATATACTAAATAAATTTGTATTAAATTCAAGTTAGCACAGGAAAGAATATATTAAGTGTAAGACAATATATAAGCATTTATAACGGAAATAAAAATTCATTTGAAAAATAAAAATTAGTATTAATGAACTGAAATTAACCGGTTAAACGTGATAAACGGAAAAAATTTGTCTTAAAATTCCAGTTAATACAAAAAACAATATATTCCTTACACCAGCAGTGGTTTGCTAATTTTGATGACCATGGTGATGCATCAAACTATTCTGTCATCTTAGATAATCAATCATATTTTTTATTTCAAGTTTAATCATCTGTTTATGTCACACCTGCCTATTCCTCTGAAAGGTTATTGTTAGAAAAGCATTAACAATATATTATGTTGTTAAAATTTTACACCATAAGAATTGATTTATTTCTCATAAGTTTAGATGACAATTAACCAATAATAAAAATAAAAGCATTACTTATTGAAAATGCACATGCATATTTTTGCGGTCTACGAAAACAAATTATTATAGGGGTTAAAAACATGCATAGTTCTGCATGCTTACAGCTGTTAATAATTAAGAACACAACGTGGAACAGCCTGTATTACAAATTAGCATTCACCCTTCCCACCGTATTTTCTTCCTTTCATCCCGAACCGAGAACTGGCATCTATCTACGAAAATATCTCTATCCATTCGTTGTTAAAAAATTCAGAAAAAATAATAATAAATAAGAGAAGAATAATATAAATCTGCAAATGCGAACAACGACAGTGACAATTCAACAAAATGAACCCAAGAGGAATGGTTGCAAACTTCGAACAAGCGAATAGGATAAATCCGCTGAGTTATCAGGTTTGAACTATTATCGCCAAAGTTGGCGATGTTTACATTTACCGGGTTCTCTGCGGAAGTGCTTCCGAACCCGTTATTATCCATCAAACATTGGTGAAAGAGACACATACGGAGGAGGTTGTTTGTGTGTTTGGGGTGGTATCTCTTTGGGTGGACGCGCAGATCTCTACGACGCTTATGTGCACCCTTATGCCGGAGTAATAGGTGATGATTTCCGGCTAGACTACAACGCTAGACAACATAAGGTTCGCCTCCTTCCGCGCGTTCGAGGATACATACATGAGGCACCGTATTCTCTCTTATTCATCATATCTTCCCCTCAGAGGAAAAATATCCAGGTTTTTACACTTAGGTTTTCTACTTGGAATGTCTGGGAAGTATTGCCACGGCAATAGATACCCAGAACAACACAGCAGTATCGCAGATTATCTTCAGCAGCAAACAATTCAGCGCATGGAGGGGCCAAGTCTATCGCCAGACGTATAGCTACCACCCATATATAACGAAAGCTACTTTCTTTTTGAAAATCCACTTCATTCTCCAAATAGGTAGCTGGCTGTTATGTGTTTAACAGTCATTAAAATTTAGTTCTTTACTCCTGACTTTCACGAATAGCTTTTGTGGAAAGATAAGTAGAAACTGCAATATTTTTAATTCGTTTTATATAGTAATTAAAGCCAAAAAATAATTCTTTCATACAAATGTTATAAGAAAATAGGTCTCATGATTTAGATTTTTCGCATTAACACTTTGAGCGCGGCGCCGAATTTGCTGTACTTTCCGTTCAGCCGGCAGCGAGCTAAGCCGTATTTTTGTTTAGAATCTTTCAATACATTTCATTAAAACTAAATTTGATCACATTTCATTGAACCATATTTATTTTTAATACTGTCGGTCCAGGGAACCGACGCCAGCCAAACGAAAATTGCAGTGCCGGTCCCCAGGGCCGACGTCGGCCACACGGAAAGTTCACTGCCGGTCCCCACGGACTGGCGCCGCGCTCAACGTGTTAAGTAGCACTTTAGTAAGACTTCAGCGTCAAACTACGATAAGTCGTCAGTTATCGAAGCCAAGTGTAAAAGAATAAGTAGCCGAAGTTATTATGAAGGTTTTCATTATTAAAGAGTGGTTATAATTATAACCTTTCTGAGGTTTGAAGCTGCTAATGAGAACGTACCAATAATTTACACTTATTTAATTTATTAATTTAGTAAAATTTGTCTTGCAAATGGCCTTTGACTACAGCTTTGGCTTTATAATTTACATTAGTATCTTTATTAGAAATAGGAAATGTTTCCAATGAAATCTCGTATAAAATTTCTCATGATACTTGCGTATTATCCCGTCGACCAAGAAAATGTCGCCAAACAGTGCGATTTAGCGCCAGGTATGGAGAACACATTCATAACGCTTTCAGGTGATGTAACCTTGACTGATTCTCAATATGCCACGTTTGCTTTCATGAATATAAGGATATAAATTAATTGCTACAGTTGTATTTTTTCATGCACTTTCATAGCCCGGCATAAGAAGAAGAAAAAAGATTAAAAGTTTGGACCTGCCTGCTATTGATAGCTAAGAACAGTAGTGAATTACTTTTAACGTTAAGGTATATTCCATAAAAAAAGAATATATTAATAAACACTATATAGTCAGGTGAGTATGACCGACAAAACGATAGTAGATTGGAACAATTATTTGCGGGAAGTGTGTACATGTAGTATTCTAATCAGAGTTTCCGGTAAAACTGGAAAGACTAACAAAATAACAAAAATTGATAAAAGCGTGTTTACAAGTATCGGTAGAAGCTTCCACTCCAATTTTGAGGAAGAACATCCAGGGTTTGCTCCCACCCCTCTTCCCTTACCCCAACATTTCGAGATGACTTTTGGCTCGCAGCGTATTTTAAGTGTTCCCATGCCTCACGGATATTGTATGCGTATAAATACTCATGCAATCTACAGAGTTCGAACCTGGACCCATCGGAACGACAGTTAATGTCACTAACCACTTATATGGGCTGCTTGGCTTTGGAAAACGTGCTGACGAAGAGCAAAAATGAAGCAGATCGGATCCTGATTGTTCATTAAATTGTTACGTGGTTTTTTATTAGTGGCACCAAAATTGTTATGTGCTTACTAAGTTGATACAGTAACACACGAAATTTTCTATCAACATATATGTATATATATATATACATATAATAATCCCAATAAACCTATTTCATTGCGTTGTGTTCGGATTAACCCTGAGATAAAATCTAAGTAGTTGACTGGTGAAAGACAAGAGCACACACACACAGACACACACACACACACACACACACACACACACACAACACACACACAAAAAAAAAAAAAAAAATAAACATTGACTTTATTAAACTCTTAAACAGTTAATTAACTCGTATGCAATTTATATTCTAGCAGATCTTAACCAGTTAAGGAGAAAATATTGATTATAACAAAATGTATACTTTATCTAAATAATCTCACAATTTTCCTTCATGACTTTATAATATCAAACATTATTTTGAATTCATACTGGTAAGCATAATCACATAAAACGTTTTGATAGATTAACAATACCCTCCCCTGGGAGAAAAAAAAAGAAAGAGAATATTTAACAAGTTACACCTTCAAAAAACATTCCACACAGAATAAGCTATTAAAGAACTTGGTACAGAATCAAAATGATATTGAGGTTGTTATTGCACATTTTAATCGTTTTCTAAAAAAAAAATAAAATAAAATAAACTGGGTAAAATATTAAAGAATAAAATCGGGCTTTACATCTTACGAACAATTTATTTCAATAGCGTAGCAATGAAGCTCAATTAATGGCACCTTATATTAACGATAAAAGAAATTCACTGCTTTAATTAAATAATTTAACTAAGAATATAATTCCTTAGCCAATCTAATTAAGTTATTTAATCTAATTAAGTAAGGATTTCAGCAGCTATTGCAGGGGAAGTTCCAATTCTATTTCCGTTAATTTCTAGAATGAGAAGAGTAAACATTTCCTTGAGAACCTTCACACATCTTTTTACTTCCTTGTACGAAGTAAAAAGGAAGTATTGTAAATCGCGAAAAAGTTTCAGGTTTATTTCAACGAAAATACCGATTTTGACCGCTATCCGAAGTGCAATTTAATTATATTTTTGCTTGACATTCTCAACGTAAGGATAGAATAAAGGACTCTTTTTCCCCAAGAAATTATAAAACTGATTTAAAATGAATTCTGAAAAGAATTTTTCGTGGCGTCTTTGTACGTACGTACGTATCTTGCACAACTCAAAAACGAGCAGCCTCAGAACGTTGAAATTTTGTATATAGGACTTCTATACATGTAGATGTGTACATCGTATTTTGGTTGCAATCGGCCTCACCAAACGTATATAAAACCACTCTGTTACCCGGCTCAGTGATTTCAGTTTCTTTACTCTTATATGTTTGTAAATTGTGCATTTTTGCTTTAAAAATGATGGAATTATGTTGTTTTTATCTTCCGATTAAGGTTTTTATGCCTTTCGTAATTCTGAAAGTACAATTATCAACTAAGTGCGGTTAAGTTTTAAATAACATGGCGGACATATTTGTTTACATTTGAAACAGCAGAATTGTAGATTTATTGCCAATCTAGAAAGACTAAGCTTCGCAACACAAAAATAACGCCTTCATTTATTATTGCGAGTTAAATCATGCTTAATCTTTTCTGGAATTCTTTCGAGGAAATAAAAGTGTTTTTTACTTTACTTCGTAATTTTTATGGGATATTTGAATTTTTTGTAATTTTGCCTTTTCTGGAAGTGAGAACTGAATTAATTGAATGAGAAATACTCAATCGTCTGTGAAAAACGTGTCTTCTGTTTTGTTTACTAATTCTTTCATACATAGTTTAGCTTATTTTAAAAGAACATGTGGCACGATAATTTTCAAATATATCAATTTTGTGCATTCAGAGTGTCGTTTCGTTATAGTAAACAAATATAGTGAATTTAAAAGAGTGCTTTATCTTGTGTTATGCCTGTCGACGAAGTAGATTTAATTCTCCAATCAATTTAAATGAAATTCAAGAAAAAAATGTGTATAATATAATATTCCGTACAAGGAAGTCATGTGGTGTACACATCAGATTTTTTTAAAGGATCTTGTAGAAGGCTTAACCGGTAGTCCATTTTCCTATTTTAAGAGAAGAGTGTGGAGGCTGAAAGATCATTATCGGCCTACGAATCTCGATTGCTTTTCATTTTTTTTAAACTAAACTTTTGAGTAAACACAGAAGATAAAATGATCAAATGGAAAGATGTTGCCGAAGATATTACTCGCGCATTTTTCTTTTACTCGGGCATGGACCCGTAGATCCAGCGGGTGAAACTCCATTTCTTCCTTCTTTCCCAAATCTCTGAGAACAGCTTAATTCGCGGCCAGAGAGTAACAGTCCAAAGTGTAAAAGAGCAAAAAGTGTCCTTGTCCCTCAAAACCGTCCGTTAAAAAGAAACGCGCGAGAACACCAACTTGGCATCACTCACGCCCCGCCAAAGGGAAAACAGTTGCAACAATCAGCATTCCATCATGCAAACAAACACTTTGAAACTCCAACGGATTTTCCAACACGCCAACCAGCCACGCCTAGAAAAGGGGAGAACGTGGGAATCTCAACAACCCTGGAAGAGGCCCCAGTGAAAGTGCACTGAAAACTCGAAAAAACGACCATTTTACCGGAAAAGGGAGACTTCCTCCCCCATAATAGAAATCACAATGACAATGGTAAAAATCTATTAATTAAAAGCTCATAACTAAAATGTAATTGAAGTTAGGAAAATAAGTTATCTCAAATTAAAGAGCTAATTTTTCTGCAACTATTGATATTAAATACTAAGACTTCAACTTAATTTTTATCATAAAAAACTGAGTTTATTACGTAAAAATCCCCCTATATCCATTGTCTGAGTGAACAAGTTTGAAGTTGTTTGACAGTGCAGTTCGCGTAAAACCAAATAATCCAAAATTGATTGCAATAAATAATAGCCAAATAAATTAATATAACCAAACTTGTTGTGTAACTAAAATTTTGAATATTTACACATTAAAATTTTGATTTCTGTGATTCATTTAATTACGTTAAATTTGCTACACAACAAAATAAAGAGGCGTTAGTTCTTTGAAAATTCCTCGGGAATGCCTGGCGCAATTTTGAAAGGATCTACAGTGTCTCAAAAAAGTGATGGGACACTTGTGCTTTACAAAGGAAGTGCAATAAATAAAATTTAAAACATGTAAAATTTTTTGTGGGTGTGTTTCATACTAAATTTAGTAACATTATTACAAACATACTTTTCTCAAATATTAAATTAATTTAATAAAAATACAATTGTTAGGACGGAGCAGAAATGGCTCACTTAAGTGAGGACGCTTACTTTTCATCAAATATTATCCAAAAATTTTACTTTTAAAAGGTTTTATATTTTGTGATTTCCTTTACTTTTAAAACATGATTTAATCTTCTTGGACGATCGACTAACTTTTTGGTGATTTTGGAGGATTTTCCCATTCTCTGAAGCACGTTTTAATTGTTGTTTTCAAGAAATGGTGTGTTTTGCGAATTCTTGATTCCAATTTTGCAATATTCTCTATGGGATTTAAGTGGAGATTGTGGGTTTTTTTATTTCAGACAGTTCTACAGCAGCCAGAGTCTAATGTTCAAAGCACTGCTTGGGTCATTGTCCTGGTAGAATTTAAAATCGTTATGAAGGTTCATTTCGTTCTGAAGATTTCGAATTTTGATTTAAAATGTCATATACTTGTACTGATCCATTATACTGTCATAAAAACAAGATTACAACTCCAGCGGAACGACATACCCCCCATACCATAATCCTCCTCCACATGTTTTACTGTTGGCACCAAGTTCGTATGCGAAATTCCCTGGTTTTCCCACACCAAGATTCTACCGTCAGAACCAAACCAAATATATTAATTTACTCTCATCAGCAAATATAACTCATTCAGTAATCAGAATTCCTATTTATGTTGGATTTTGCGAAAGCCAGTCTGAGTTGTCTATTCTTTTCACTCAAGAAGAATTTTTTCCTGGCTGCTCTACCGTGATATCCAGCATAGATCTAATTACTCTTATAATAGTCTCAGGATTAACAATTACTCCATATAATGCTTGTAAATCAGACAGCAACTATAGGAGCACTCATTCTTGGAGTTTTTTTTTAATATTTCCAACGATAATTCGCTTTATTCCTTTGGATAGCTTTGATGGTCGGCGAGGTCTTCTGTTATCCTGAATCATATGATTCTTTTTTATCGTTTAATGATATAGAAAACTGTTGAATGACTGAAGTTAACTGTTTCAATAGTTTTCTCTAATAGATTTTCCACGTTTTAATATGCAATAATAACTAAATTTTCGAATTCCAGGCAAAGTTTCTTTTCGTTTAGCATTCATGGCTGCACAGAGCTAAAAAACACAAAATTCCAAAACAAACTGGAGAGAATACTGCAGACGATTTTATAAATATTGCAATTGATTTTGAGTAAAATAAATACCCCAAAAGATATTTTATTGCTTACTAGACGATTTTTGTTGCATAGTGCGTAGTGTCCCATCACTTAATGAGCCATTTTCTGCTCCGTTCTAAACAATTGTATTTTTATTAAATAATATTTTAATATTTTGAGAAAATGTATGTTATGTAATAACTGTTACTAAACTTAAGTATGAAACACACCCACAAAAAATTTTACATGTTTTTAAAATTTATTTTATTGCAGTTTCCTTTTGTAAAGCACAAGTGTCCCATCACTTTTTTGAGACACTCTATGTAAACTTTTGCGGTTCAATGATAGCCAACTTTCACGCTCTTCGGGGTAATACATGCACCTTTCTTTTTTTTACAAATAAGTCATTCAGCAGGAGAATTCACATCACCAAACAGAATAGTAGTTACGTTTTAACGCATTTATATTCTCTACGCTACTAGCCGGCTGTTTATAAATGGTGTGTATTAATTTATTCTTTCCTAATCTAGGCGATTTTGCTATGCTGCTCAAAACAGGCATGAAAGTTAGGCAGGCATTGTTGTACAATATTCTTTCGTCTATACTGTGTTTCATCGGCATGGTAATAGGAGTATCCCTTGGAAATGTACATTCTGCAACCAGCTGGGTGTTCGCCGGCACAGCCGGAATGTTCCTTTACATAGCATTGGTAGATATGGTGAGTAATATTTGTTTTTTTCTGAAGATACCATTCTCGCATTTCCACTTTATTCATTTGTTTTTTTCCAAGATTAACTACACAGAGATCTTTTCTACTGCTGAAATATAATTTTCGTTTCTTTCTGTCTTTAAATATGTTTGTCTTCGCAAGCATCCCCCGATACATTACTAGCAATATTTTGCTGTTGTTTAAATGTCTACGAATGATCAATTCGAATAGCAAGAATGAATTAAGAATTCATTATAAAATTAATTACGAAAAGCAGTTCAAACAAATTAAGCAGAATGTAGATAAAATTTCTCTTTAGAACACGTGAAATGTCGGCAATTGCCAAAATCACTTGCAGAGTAAATTCGCGATTCAGCTAAATCTCGCAGCTGAATAACAACGAAAACTGCAATAATAACAGCAACTCCGTCAACTGACTGGACTGGACTCTATGTGAAATGGAGAAACGGGACGCTTCTTTGCTCTGTACAATATATTCAAAGTATGTGTTGGGCAGGAAAATTAGTAATCCAAAAAGGCGAACACGTACAAGATGCCGAGTTAGTGGTACAAGTCCCAAGACGAAATAATGTGGCAAAGGCGATGTCGGAGTGAAAAAGATAAAATTAAAATGAAAAGTTTGCATGTTTAGATTAATAAAGTGTTAGTGGGTAAGTATTTCTTTTGAAAGGAAAAAGGCTGTGTAAAACTCAACGGCATTTTTCTAATACAATCATTATGTATTTAAGTTGTTGGTGATTTTGGCCGAAATCTCTTAGCTGTATTTTCATAGACATAGAAAGCTAGCTTCTAGAAAATTCAAGAACGATATTTAGCTCTCACATTTCTTTTAAGCAATTTTTAAATTCTCAACGTTGCCATTCGACAAAATCAACAATTCTATATTAAAAACAAACATACGAGTATACAGCCAGATAATTATTGAGCTATCTCTACATATAATAAAACAAAAAAGTCTGTCTCTCTGTGTGTGTGTCTTTCGTTCGCGCTGCGCGTAAGCTAATAGACTCACGACTACGAAATTTGGTACATAGGTGCATCTAGACAAGAGCCAGTGCACCTCGAAGCGATTGTTTCGAAATTCGAATTTTTTTTTTTATTTTATGTTTTGTGACGAAATCGCGTCATTTTGAGACATAATGGGCTATATAGGAAAGCGAGATTTTACTCTACGCACTCCATTTTCACATCGTCATGAAACGTAGGTGCTTAGCTATTTACGAACTTAAAATAATTTCGTGTTTCAATAAATCGATGAATACGAATTATTTAACAAAGGGAGCTTAACACCTTTCAACGGGATTTTTCTAAAAAAGTTTATTTTTAAAAATGTAAGTTTATTTTTTTGTTTTTGGACACTTAAACTTCATCCTTGCGACTGCTTTTAAAACAGAATTTTGGAAAGATGATATTTTATATTTTTAAAGAATTTTTTTAATGAAGCTTCCGAGTACACTTCTCACATCTTTAAAAATGTGATTTTGGCAACAATTTTTCTGTCTTATTGTTGTTGACTTTGATGAAATCGCATCATTTTGAATAGTTTCATTCTTTTAGAAATATGGGTTTGGCAACACGTTTTCATTGTATTTATGTCACCGTTTTTAAGAGATTGGCATAATTCATTGTCATTTTTATAATATATAATACATTTTTGAATTTTTTGATAAAGTTTTCTGTAGAAAAATTCTGCGCGGAATTTTTGTTTTGAGTTGCCTTTCGTTTTTTTTGCTTATTTCACTGTTTGTAAGATATTGAAATTTTGCATGATTTTTTTCTTCAACAGAAAGTTTGTTAATTTTTTATTAGGATAATTAATATTTGTATTAAGGGATATAGCTTATTTCATTGTAATTTTTTCTCTTGAAAATTATACTTTCTTTCAGAATTTTGTGTATCTATTATTTATGCTCATTTCACTTTTTAGATACTGAAAAGTTTTGAGTGATTTTTTTAGGAAACAGAGTTGTTAACCTCCTTTATACCATTTGAGTTCTTAAAATTTTTCAAAGACAAGTTGGTTAATTTATTTATTAGGATAATTAAAGTTCGTAGTAAGGGATATAGCTTATTCCATTGTAATTTTGTTATAAGTAATAACTTTTTTATGAAGTTTTTCTGCAGAGTAAAATTCTACGCAGTTTTTAAATTTAACGTTTGGTGTTTCCGTGAGGCATTTTTCCGGTACATTTAAAAGCCAGACGAAGACTGGCAGCGAAGCTGCTAGTATGAAATAAAAAAATTATTAAAATTTGAAACGTAACCACAAATATTCGGTTTTAATTTTCAAATGCATGTTCGATATGCTTGCCATCAATGGCTATGACATGGCGCAGACGATGAGCAAAACTTGCTGAAGTGTCGAGACATGGATGCTTCCGAAGACCTTCTGAATGGCCGATTTGAGCTCGGCGATGGTTTTTGGGTTATTTGCGTGAGCAAATGAGTCACAAGGGATCAGGAGAACAGGGTGGCCAAGTGATTACCATTTCTGTGGCCTCTGGATACCCTAAAGCCAGAATACGCCCTCCAAAGTGTTTTTCTAGTACTTCAAACACTCTGTGAGTCTGATGCAATCGTTGCTCCGTCTTGTAAAAGGACGACATCATCTAAAATTTCGACATACCGATTATTCCGCGATTTGACTTCTAGTTTGCGAAATGGGGATTTTCAATCCCCAAATACGGCAATTGTACTTATTGACGTACTCATCCAAATGAAAGTGAGCTTCGTCACTAAGCCAAACCATATTCTTATCAAATTCTTGTTTGTCAATCATGGCGATAATAGTGCTGGCGAAAACACAAATTCTGTTTAATAGCAAGTGGCTGACGAGTTTAAATTTTGTTCGGAAAGCGCTGCAGGTCTTGGAATAACAATTTGTCACAAAGTCTGCTGGTTGATAATGAACTGTAGTCGAGGGCGTTTTCAAATTTGCCCTCGATCACCAATATTGCCAACACTATCATCACAAACGTTACCTGTTTTTTGAATGTTTTAGTCAGAATTTTTATTGTTATAACATTTTGGCAGGTTGTCTTCAAATTGTAATCGGTCATAAATTTCCTTTGAGCCGCAAGCCGGTTGTTATTGCTCGAATAGTGGTCCTTGACGATGCATTTCGACGCTATTAACTCAATAATTGTCACACTGTAAAAGCGTCACCACAAAATAAATTAGTCAAAAAAAAAATTTGAAAGGTTTCAGATTTTAAATTACGTCCAAAGGGGCGTTTTTCTAACGTCTTGTGTGTTACCTTTATTTATTAAATATCATGTTCTTTGCACTTAAACCATAAAATTCAGTTCAACAGCAATGTTGCAAAATAATTTTAAAATAAGTATATTTTTAGAATTTCCGATACACAGTTCCGCGCGCTGGAGATAAAAAGATTTCCTTTTTTTTTTTACTCGTAGTGTGTTGCCATTGCTCGCTTTTAAATCATTGAGTTTGTTAATCAAAAATTCGTTGAAGTTTTATAAAATATGAAATCGGTAATAAAACACGTTTCAAATTTCAGTATTCACAGTAGGATCACGTCATTCAAATTTGGATGGCTGTAGGTACCGTTGTTTTATCACATTGCGAGAAACATACATACAATTATGCAGATTCTTCATTATTTTATTTTCTTCAAATATAATACGGGGTGATAGTATTTGGTGGCAACGGTTTGAAAAGTGATATGCCGTTTATAGGGTTCCGACACCAAAAGAAAACAAAAGTCCTTCAGGAACACAAACACTTTTAGACTAAATCATAAAAAGAACTTGAATATTTACAGATGTATACAAGCAGTATTTAAAAAAGAAAACGTATAATGTGATTCGTTAATGAAAGTGTAAATTTCCGGAATGTGAATTATTGACTACAGGACTTATCTTGCTTAAAAAGAAATTTCAAAAATTATGAAGACGTAAACAGTTTTATTAGTTTATCTTACGGCCATTTTCCTTTTTTTTTTATAGTTACCAGAATTATCATCTAGTTCGAGTAACTCAGGATCTACAGTGCAACAATTAGCGGTCCAAGTTTTAGGAATATGCACAGGCGTAAGCATCATGCTTCTGATTGCCAACTATGAGCAAGACCTTCAGACTCTCGTCAGTTGATCAAATCTACTCAAATCATTTACTTTAAAAGTTGTAAATGAAACATTTCCAGTAGAGTTTTCCCCTGAGCATCAGCATCTCAAAACGACTTTTAAAAAATTCATTTCTGTAGTTTGTTGTTCATGATGAACAAATTTATTGTATAGTGAAACTATTTTAATGTATACATTTATGGAGTCGGACTGAAAAATGATTCCAACCTCAGTTTAAACATAACGTCGATTTATTTATTGATAGTTCCTTTGTAACTGTAACCACGCCTAATGATGGATCTTCGGCTTCTCGAAGTATTCGACGTGATATTGGATGTGTTCGTTTTACGCATTTTTAAAATTTTAGCTAACGAAAAAGTAACAAAATAGTAGTGCAGGTAAAGAACTGTGTTTGAACAGCTAATCACGAGATATGTTAGAATTTTAGTACACAGTGTTCGATACTCAAGTGCACAAAAGTGAACGATACTGATGAAATATTGTGACAGCATATGCTAATTTATTCATGCGCAAATTTTATTCAGAAACTAATTAATGAGCCACGAAAGTTTGCCAGTACTTCTAAGTTAGTAGCTGATAATATTTTGAATCCAAGTATAATAATAATTATTTTTTGAATAACCGTTGTCAAAACGTGTTTTGACCTTTAGTTGCATAATATTAATCATTGTGTAAAATGTTGTATTTAGTGTTTAAGTGCAACTATTATATATAATTTTCTATTGTAGACCGAATTTGAGTGCATGTACATACGAAACCATGCTATGACAGTTGCATACACTTATTCAGATGTGTAGATTTGGCTATATAAAACAAATTCCTCCCACGAATAGAGATTTCGGAGATGGAATTTTTTTTCAGGCAAAATGCAGATGATTGAAAGTGCAGGTACGTGGGTATACAAATATAATGCTCTCGTTATATTGAATTAAAGATTGATCTGGTGAAGGGTAAAGACACAGATCCAGAGCAGCGCATCAGCCTAATTGGTATTGCTTTGCTAGTGCCCCGAAAATGCAGTGTGGTACAAACGAGACGTTAGCAGACTTCGAAAGATAAAACAGTTATAGGACTGAGAGATGGTGGTTGCTCGTGCCGGGATAACAACTGTGCACGATAGATGAAGCAGTGTGCATAACATTGAAATGACCGAAGTACGAATTAAACTGAGTAATCTAAAATTAAAGGCAATATCTTTCGCAAAACGGAGATCTGCTGTCTCAGTCATTTTGCTTGCGGATCATGAATAAAAGAAATTACATATGCAAGCGAAGGAGGACGTAGGCACGGTCCCTTTACCCGTATAACGGTTAATCAGTATAGTACCACGCCCACCTGTATCTGGAGCTGGCCAGATGGTGGGGGCCACACAAGTCTTGCATGGGACGCTCAAACTCAGCGTCCGGTGCATCCAGAGGGCAGTCCAACAGACCAAAGCGCCCCCCGGTAATGCACTCCCATACAATCCCCTCCCCAACCTCAGTATTTATTGACATTACAAAAAGAGATTACATGGCCATACAAGGGCTTTAACATACAGTGAAGATTTTTAACATTGGCTTTTGTGTACAGATTCCAGACATTACATATTATACAATACGTTACTTGAAATACTCAATATACATAAGATTAATACACAAGATATACACCTATGAATTGTACAATAGTAAACAGAACTTTAGACATACAAAGTGCACAAATACAGAGGATATCATGTACTGGAAATATGGGACATGCTCTGGGAAATTAAGACAATACGATACAGTAATGCAATACCATATTAAATGCGAAGCCAGCGCACAGTGAGTACAATAGATACATATGATACCAGTGAACACGAACTTGAAATGTGCCGGACAGAATACAAATCTGCAAGATACAGTTTTCGAAAGATATATAAACCTGTACAAGGTACATAATACATACAGCAGATACGCCAAATATACAAAAGATAGTTTTCGTAAAGTATATAAACTTGTACAAGGTACATAAAACATTCATACAACAGATATGCAAAGACACAACAAGTATACAATACAAAGATGCTGTTTTCTGAAGATATACAAATTTATACAAGGTACATAATACATACAACATAACGCAATATTAGACTTACACAGGGTGTACATTTGCTGTCTCAGAAGAATAGATCATGTGGAACACTTAATGTACATTGACATTTTCAATAGATCATACATGCAACATGGGAATACAAGGTGCACAATTGGAGTTTTAGAAGAACAGGTCATGTAAGACGTAATTTACATGTGCATTATTGAATAGGCTTCACGTTACTATTATCCAGATGCATTAAGCATTCATAATATGTATAATATACTTAGTTGAACTACGCGTTGATGCAAATATACAGGGTACATTGAACTGGGTACACATTTGCAGTTTCAGAGACATAGACTATACAGAACACGTAATATACATTTACGTTATTGAATAAGTCATCCATACGCGAAACACAGATACTTCAAACACTCAGAAATATACATATATACAACATCGTAATCCTGTACTGAACTTATACTGGGCGCACAGTTTTCCGCGAGTAGGTTATGTAAGATATGGATTATATGTATGCATTATTGAAAAGGCTTTACAGACCTATAACACCGATACATTAAACATTCGAAAAAAATACTTACCTATGAAGTTAGGTAAACTTAAACAGGATATATGATACATACAACATGGTAATGCGATAGTAAGCTTATACATAGGAGAATAGGTTATGTAGAATTTGTATTATACGTAAGCGTTATTGCATTACGTACATTACACTTTCATAAAATATACACACATACTTATCACAAAAATTGTGTTACATCATAAATGTCCACTATAGTTACTCTGATACATTGAATATTCATAAATATACCCAGTTATATACTTTAGGTTGAACATGGTAATGCAGTAATAGAGTTAAGTACATTATACACCAAGTGCAGAATACATTTTTTACAGTTGGCATAAGTCAGTGCCTAGGTCCATTAGCTTATCTATTATTTTCATGATTTTGCGGGCTTGGTGACGCCGCCTAATTGTGAATCTACAGAAAGTCTGCCTGTTCGTCCGTGGAATAAGTATGTGCAGGCCTTCTGTTAACGGGCATTTTGCAACATAATGTTCCAGCGTTCCCAGTTCACGACAGTAGCACTGTGATGAAGGTGCCGTTCCATGTCTCTCAAAGTAAACTTGAAACGAGCCGTGTCCAGTTATGTAATATGCCATTTGCGGATGAATAACAAAACGGTCCTGATCAACAGTTATAAGTAAGTATGCGCGCGATAGCCCGTGTCTTCACTATTCCATGCCTCCTGTCATGCTTCATTCGTATCCTTTTGTGGATCTGAGTATTGCCCATCATTAAACTGCTGCCCCCGTCTGCTTTGATCTCCCTAATCCTGTGGGTTTCGTTTAGTACTCTGTGTTGTCACGGGTGTACTGCACGCTTCGCTGGTATTGCGTGCAGTCTGGGTGGTATTCAAGATGTTAGTAGTTAACTTTTGCTTCGTAGCGATAGTTAGCCAGTTGAGGCATTCTGGCTGTTCTACATGCAGTCTTTGACTTCGTGTTCACCCACGCAGAAGAAACAAAATTGTTTTCGGTTTTTGCAGTTGGCCTGGGTATAGCCATACGGCCAGCATCTGTAGCACCTCTTGATGCCGTTGTATTCCGTAATTCTATGAGCTTGTCATCCGAAGATTTTCTCTGTCGTATGACGGCTGTGAAGCTAGTGGGCTCACATTCGATAACCTATTTAACCCTTCCTTTGCGACGCTCTTTGAGTCGGAAGAGGGTCTTGAAGGAATTGCTTGGCATTTTTGTGACACCGCTAAGTTCTGCGAGCACTTCATTTGGTTGTGTTGCTTCTGGCAGGTCATATACTGCACAGCTGGGCTTACGTCGTGTGGGTCAGCTGATGTCCGCCGGGATGTCTGTTTGTTGGGGTTGCTGCTCCAGGGCCGCGACACCTTCTTTAGTCTTGGAATAAGCCTCAAAGCCGCCTTTGCTAATTTTAGTACCTTTTCTACTCCAACTTTAAGTGTGGAGAGTAGCATCTTTTCGTTGAGATGTACTTTTAGCGCCGCTTCTGTAGTATCTGCTTTTGTGTGAATGAACAGACTTGGTTTCTGTCTGACGTACTATTTCTGGGAAAGTCCGAGTTGAAGTGATGGGCTGAAAAGCCAACGCTTGTGTGCTACTTATCTGTCTATGAGATGTCGACGGGTGATGTATATGAGCAGCTTCACAACAAAGAATTGCTGAGGTGTTGACACCAGTTTCAATTTGTTCTGGCTTGGACGTGTACGCTATACCTTCCAATGCCAGCTTTTGGAGTGCTTCTACAGAATTCAGTAGACGTTCGCAGAGGTCGGTTGGCAGAAGAAATTTGTTATTTCTATAAGTTGTTGCGGCCTATCTGATAACTTCGAAGAGTATTGTGACCTCTCCCACGTGAGGCAGATCCGAGGTCAATAGCTCAGAGGGGTCTAGTTCACTTTGTGTGAGAGTAGTGTCGCCGTCAGTTGGAAGAACTGAGTGACGGACATGATAATGAGGTATTAGAGATAGTTGCACTATTTGGGCACTAAGAATTGAAGCAGTAATTAGATCACTACTTGAGATATCACTGTTATTACTACTTGGAGCACTATTTGAAACACTACTGCACTGATATGGTAAAGGGGTGGTGCTCACGTCCTCCGTCACTCACTCACTACTGCACTGACACTATTTGAAGCACTATTGTATCAAAATTTGAAGCAGTAATTGGATCACGTTAAACACTATTGCATTGACACTATTTGAAGCCAGCCCTAATCGTACTTGTAAGTAGACACTATTGATATGCAGACACTGGTGAGAACACTATTTGAATAATTAGGATGCAATCAAGTAATTTTTCATCTGTTCGCTAGTTGGTAAGTAAATAGCTATTCAAATTATTACTCATCTAATCACAGGTAAGAAACAAATAATTATTGCATAAGTAAAGCGGTGAATTATCAGTTATAACAAACCAAATTATGACAGAAACAGTGGTCAGGATAAGCTGTGACCACTATGAGTGTTGATTAAGGTTGTTACAGATGCTGGCGAAAACACTGTTTGAAGCTAAGTATAAAAGCTGATGACTATTCATTTAAACACTTGCACTATTCACAAAAAATAACTCTAAATTAAGTGCTTGTTGATAATTTCAAGAGTGAACAAGGGGCACTTGATCTACCGATACTGATTTTACCGTGCGTAAAAGTTTGTGGGTTGAGGTATTAAGGGGGAGAGTACACGGAATTTGAGCATTTTAAGCTAAGTTACGTGTGCGAAAGGCCGACGGGGGTTGGAAACTATAGATAGGGTTGAGAAATAAAAAAGGTAGTTGTTAAGAATTTGTTGCGGAACTTTGAGGTTATTAGGAGGGGTCAGAAGCGGTTAATTAAGTTAATTAGTAGATAGTTTAATTAAGGAAAGAGGCGACGGATGAAAAGAGAAGTGTAGGATGTAAGGTTGGGTGGGTGGGTGGCTGGCTGTTATTAGAAAGTTGTTGCAAAGCTGTGGAGTGAATAAGGCCGGAGAAAAACGCTAATTGATAGTAATTAGTAAAAGGTGATTAAGCGACAAGCGACGGAGGACGTGGGCACTATCCCTTTACCATAACGGTTAATCAGTACAGCACTCCGTCCTCCATTATCTAGAGCGGTTCAGAGGAAAAAGTGTAGAACATAGTACAAAGGACTTGGACTTTTCTAGTTTACAGTGCAGATGACATTGTTGTGCATAATGCGCCACAAGTGTCCACAGATTATGCACATTACAATATACAAATGGCTTGTTTATGCCTTGTGAATATGCTGATGACGTGGTTTTGCACAATACACACTCAACTCTTACCTTAAAAACACATTAGGAATATTTAAACGTATACAGCAGATGTATGCCATATTTAAACATAGTGATTATGCTGATGACCAGGGTATGCAGGATGGTTTACAGTACAGGAAACGTTATAATCACGTTACGTGCTTACAATTACACACACATTACAGTTACTTTGTAATTACGCATACATTACAGTACTTTGCAGTTATGCATGCATTACAATACTCTTACATTATAAATACATTAGAATTACACATATATTACGATATACGCTATACAATAAACGTATGCCATATTTAAGCGTAGTGATTATTCAGGTGACCAAAGTATGCAGGAGGGTTATAAAGTTCAGGTAACGTCCCAGGTACATGATACATAGTTACAATTACACACACATTACAGTTATTTTGCAATTACACATACATTACAATACTCTTACATTATAAATATATTATAATTACACGTACATTACAATATACGCTAAACAATAAACGTATGCCACATTTAAGCAATTACATATGTAAAATAAGGGCGGAGAAGGACGGAAGTGGTGGCGAAAGTTAAAGGGGGTTTACAAGAATTTGTTAAGAGGTGGAACCGAGGTTGGCCTGTTCCGGGGGGGGAGGCTTAATTAGTTAAAAGGAGCAGTCGTTAATTAAAGGAAACTATGGGTCGACGGGGGGGGCAGGAGTGATGTCTGTCTGAAGGGGAGGAAGAAAGAAGTTAAGTGAAGGTGGTTGTGTGCAGGAGAAAGGTTGCAGGAGGTGGTTGAGGGCAGGAGAAAGAGGCTAGAGTAAATTAACGAGGAAGAGCTAATTAGTAAAAAATAGGTGGCGGCGGGAACGGTTAAATGAATGAGGAGAAGCTAATTAGTAAAAATATGTGGCGGTGGGAGCGGTTAAATTAATGAGGAGAAGCTAATTATTAAAAAATAGGTGGCAGCGGGAGCCGTGTTGGCTTGTAGTGGGGCTGAAGAAAGATTGACCAGAAGCAGTTAAGTGGCTGGGCTCGGGGGAGGTAAGAAATAAGCTAAATTAATTTAATGAACGGGGTTTAATTAATGGAAGCTAAGGTCGGGCGAGGAATGGGGGTGGTGGTAAATAATAGGTTGGGTATAGAGAAGTTTACGGGAGTTGGTTACTTGGCTGGGCGGAGAGGAGATAGACGCCTAATTAGTTTGAGGAGGAAAAATTAAATAATGAGAACTAAAGGTCGGCGGGGAGCGGGAGTGGTGTCAACTGAAAGAGCAAAGTTAAAGAAGCTAAATGAGCTTTATTATATTACTGTACAAGAAGGGAGAGTAGAGAAAAGCGCTTAATTAATTTAATTAGCCCCGACTAATTAAGGGAATGTGAGCGGGCGGTGGTGGGCGAGTGAGGTATCTATAGAGAGCTTAATGCTATAAGGAGTTGATTGGAGGTGGTTTTTAAGCCAGGCGGGGGAAGAGCGAGGGGAGTCACTATATTAAAACAGGGATCGGTAAATACGAGCCATAATTCTGTTTATACACAAAGTGATACAACTGTAAATACATTGAGCATGACAATTCAGAATTATTCAGCACAAAAATAAGAATATTTAACAGACACGGTGAAATTACATATACAAGTGACGCTGGACGTGGGCACTGACCCTTTACCGGAACGGTTAATCAGTACAGCACCACGTCCATATCTAGAGCAGGCCAGATCGTAAGGCCACCTGGGCGTCTCGCAAGAAGCGCCTAGACCCAGCGCCTGATTCATCCGGAGGGCAGTCCAGCTGACCAAAGCGCCGCCCCGGGAATTCACTGCCATCCAATCGCCCGGACCTCAACATTTATTGACATCATGAAATAATGTACATAGACATACAAGGGTAATAATATATGTACAGTGGAAAATACAGAGATTGGTATAACGGTGAGGGTAGTAACATAGATTAACATGACTACTCAATGCTAGAGATCTACATGGTGAATTACAAGGACATGGTTACAATAAATATGCATACGACCATATATGTCTATAAGTAGTATACACTTCATGGATACTTATGTTGGTACTATGATGATACGATAATACAAATATGCGTGACACACTATGCACAATAGTTTTGATATAAGAAAGCACTAACACTTAATACACGAAGCACTATTAGTGAATACAGAGCGATACCTACAATGCACTTATACAGGGTACACCATGCACTATAAAATAGGATGTAAGAAGACACGTATACACAATACACGATATACTATACATGAAAAGAGCGATACCTATAATACACTCATGCAGGAGACACTGTGCGCTATAATTTTAGGATGCAAGAAAACACTTATACATAAGATACGATGCAAGATATAAGGATTCAGAGCAATATTTACAATGCATTTATGCAGGATACACTATGCACTACAATCTTATGATGTGAGAAGACACTCATACATAATGCACGATGCACAACATATGAAAACAGAGCGATACTTACAATACACGTATGCAAGATACACTACGCACCACGAATTCATGATGCAAGAAGACACTATTACATAATACACGATGTATTATTGAATGTAATACAAAAATTTGGAGCATAATATATAAAATAACATAATAATAAATGTACAGAAATTTGAATAGAATACAAAAGTTTTAAATATTTTCAAATATACAGGTTTTGCAAATATACAGTTGAAATAGTTCATGCGTAAATATAGTTCATATTTCAAAATGTACATGTATGTAGTTCAAATGGTTCACAAGCCTGTAGTTCAGGTAGTTCTAATAAAGTGTTCAGACATATAAAAAATTGAAGTTTATAAAATATAAATAGTTCTAAAGTTTAAATAAACTGCAGTTTATCATACTGTTCAGAGTTTATCTGTAAAATGCACTTATGCAGGATACACTATTCACTACAATTTTATGTAAGAAGACACTTATACATAATGCAGGATTCACAATATATGAAAACAGAGCGATACTTACAATACACGTATGCAAGATACACTACGCACCACGAATTCATGATGCAAGAAGACACTATTATATAATACACGATGTACTATTGAATGTAACACAAAAATTTGGAGCATAATATATAAAATAACATAATAATAAATGTACAGAATTTTGAATAGAATACAAAAATTTTAAATATTTTAAAATATACAGATACGCTACGCACCACGAATTCATGATGCAAGACACTATTACATAATACACGATGTACTATTGAATGTAATAGAAAAATTTGGAGCATAAGATATAAAATAACATAATAATAAATGTACAGAATTTTGAATACAATACAAAAATTTTAAATATTTTCAAATACACAGGTTTTGCAAATATACATTCAAATAGTTCATGCGTAAATATAGTTCATATTTCAAAATGTACATGTATATAGTTCAAATAGTTCACAAGCGAAGTTCAAGTAGTTCTAATAAAGAGTTCAGATAGTTTAGATATATAAAAAAAATCGAATTTTCTAAAATATAAATAGTTCTAATGTTTAAATAAACTGCAGTTTATCATACTGTTCAGAGTTTATCTGTAAAATAAAGTTCGGATAATTCAAAGATAATGAATGACTCTTAGTCAGTAGATCAAAGTATGTGGTATGTTACTAGTTCATAATTGTAAACGCTTAAAAAGCTCCTAACAAAATACAAGAGTTCGTAATTGGTGGTAAATATAGAAAGTAAAATAGTATCTCATGAAAGGTTCAAATGATTGGTAGATTCCATGAAATCTGTTAGAATATTTGTAAAATTTTAAAATGAAGGAGATGTAGTACAGCTGTGTTATGCTTGAACATCCAGCACTTGATTTGATAACACATCAATATTACGATGATAAAGTTTTCATAAGATATGTTTGGCAGAGGTCCTGCAAGGTGTTTTTGGCGAATCATGAATTTGCAGGAAGCTTGGTTATTGGAAGGTGGAATTGCGATGTGGGAGTTTTCAGTTAGTGCATAAGCAGCAATGATCAGTATGAGAAATGCCATGCTTTGCGAAGTAAGCAGGCAATGGGCCATGTCCAGAAATGTAACGAACCAAATGTGGATTGACAATAAACTTAAGGTGTTTCAGCACAAATCGGTTACAAAGTACACCTAGACGCTGGAAAATTTCATACCACTGCATGGTCGAAAAGGCTTTCCTGGCGCAGCACTGATGACACAAAACGCAAGAAAGACAATGAACAGGAACAAAGAAAGAACGTAAACCACGATGCAGGCCTTACATCTCCGCATGGAAGATCTGTATAACGAATGGAAGATGAATGACACACTGTTCCTGCATCACGATTTCGAACACCTTCTTTGACGACGTCCGTTGTCTGTTTTTGCTCTTATTTCTTGTTTTCTGCTGTACTGAGTATAAAAAACAAGTTTTCTCGGCCTGTCTGTGTCCTTCCTCTAGCACATAACTGCTGCACTTCAACCGTTCATTCTGTAAAGGAAAGGGTTCGTTTCCGTTTGCTCTATCATCTTTTAAGGTTTATTGCATAAGTTTAAAAACACCCTTCATAAACATGATACAGATGTTTAAGCACGTAAATACGAAACAAAAGTATACAAAGGCACTTCTAATATAGAAAGTATAGAATGTATGAGAAAGTACAATACAACGCCAATTACCTGAACTCCGACTATCCGAATCGCTTTCAGAATTTAAGGAAAAAATGAAGACGGAAACGTAGTGTTGGACAATCAACGATTTCGGAAATTAAAAGAACCAAACCTACGCTTTTAAACTTTATGTCACTGATTGAAAACGAAGACGGAAGTTCTTCAAGAAAATCGATGCAGCAACAGATAAAAATTTGGAGGATGTTTTCAAGTGGTTTCTATGGGAAATCCAAATAAAGCTATTACATTTTTGTTGCCTTTTGCACAACCTATTTGTGCGAACAAGGATTTTCTAAATTAAATACAGAACAAAATAAAAAATGGAACCTAATTTGCGGATAAAATTAAGTGAATCAAGGTCAGACATAAAAAAAAAAAAATTGATCTCTTTTAACCCTTTGAGGCACAGGGTGTCCTGTCTGGACACACCTCAAAATTTCCTTCTGTACGCACAGAAAAATTGAATGAAAAACGATTTATAGGTTACTCTGAACTTTCTTTATTTATAGTAGATGGCAGCTCAACACAAACCAATCCATACATTTTAGCCATGTTTAGTTTTTTAAGACCCTCATTTTTCAAAGAAATCTTCCATATTTTTTTAGGGTATAAAAGGCATTGTTTAAAAAGAAATTTCTATGTTATGTTTTTTGGCTGTAGACTAATCTCCTTATTCTATATTAGTTTTAAATTTTTACCTTGAAATCTTGCCTAAAATCAAACGCCGAAACCTAGGTGTGCCAAGACCGGGCTCACCGATCATCTAGGACAACTGAGAGTCTGTATTCTTCGTTTCTCCGCCTCTCATCGATCAGTTTATTGACAATAATGCTGGTTTCAGCACTCTTTTCGAAGCTCTATTCAATCAGTGTGCCACTTTGGGCACACCCACAGAATTAAAATGACAAGTGCTATCTTCACAAAATTTTACTTGTGTACTCCTCTAGGCCTAATTAGATTGCCTACCTTTTTTTTTTTTTTTTTGAGTCGAAACTACAACTTTAAAAGGTAGCGTGCCAGAAAGGGTTAAACGGGCCCAAATTTTAGAATTTAAGTATTCTAACTTACATTTTGATGATTAAAATGGTAACCAATTTTTAATCTAATATTTTTATGTGTGCATATTTTAATACAAATAGGCAACAGGTTGTGCAAATGGCAATATATATTTTTTAATATTTGAGAAACTGAAAAATAATCATTTTAAAATGTAGTGGTGGTACTAAAGTTTTTCAATTTTTGTTTAGATGGTACGCATCAGTCAAAAGGTTGAGAACCGCTGGTATAGCACATATTTATGGTTGTCACTACATGTACACCGGTTTTTAGCTTTGATGAAGTGTAAGAGCGGTATTATGTAATTAATTAAAGAGTGCGTAGAACAATTTCTTCTGTAAAAAATCCATATCCTAATTTTTGATTATCCGAATAGGGTCCGGTCCCAACTGATTCGGTTAACTGGAGTTCTACTGTAGAGAAAAAGCACATTTTCTGTATTTTTCACTTTTTTAACAAAATTTAATTTGACGTAAATATCTGTAGGAAATTTTGTATTCAAATATGTTGTTAAGTAGTTGAACGTGCTACACGTGATGTACTGCATATCAAACATAAGTACTTGCATATCTTACGGTTGGATTTCGTGATTTTTAACAATAAAAATCTGATGTATACACCAAATGACTTCCTTGTACGGTATATTAAATTATACGCATTTTTTCTTGCATTTCATTTTAACTTATTGGATTAAATTAAATCTACTTCGCCGACAGCGCATAAACCACAATAGAATAAATGCATTCTTTAAAATTCACTCTAGTATTTGTTTACCATAGCGACACTCTGGCGCTAGATTCACTTAACAGTATTATATTTCGTTCATATTATAACTCAGAATGCACAAAATTTATATCATTTTAAGAATAGAATTATTTAATCGTTGCCACATGTTTTATTCAAATACTATAATAAAGCTAGAACGGTGTATAAAAGAAATTAAGCAAACAAAACAAAAAAAGAAACAGTTTTTCACAGACGATTGAGTATTTCTGATTCAATTAATTCAGTTCTCACGAAAAAATACATAAAAACTCAAAATATCTATATTAAAAATTACAAAGTAAATCTTAAACACTTATTTCCTCGAAAAAATTCCAGAAAGGATTAAGCATGATTTAATTCGCAATAATAAATGAAGGCGTTATCTTTGTTGTTGCGAAGCTAAATTTCTCTCGATTGGCAATAAATCTACAAGTCTGCTGTTTCAAATGTAATCTATCAATGGCCGCCGTCACAAAAAAGGCTTAGCGGCACTTAAACAACTTTAAAATTATTGATAATTCTAAAAATATTGGCCACAGATTTACTAAAGGCATAAAAACTTAACCGGATGATAAAAACAACATAATTCAACCATTTTTTTAAAGCAAAAAATGTACAATTTACAAACATATAAGAGTAAAGAAACTCAGATCACTGATCCCGGTAACAGAGTGGATATATATATAAATATATTTATATACGTTTGGTGAGGCCGATTGCAACCAAAATACGAGGTGCACATCTACACGTTATAGCAGTCCTATATACAAAATTTCAACATTCTGAGGCTACTCGTTTTTGAGTTATGCGAGATACGTACGTACGCACGTACGTACATACGTTCGTACAGACGCTACGAAAAATTCTGTTCAGAATTAATTTTAAAGCAGTTTTATAATTTTTTTTGGAGGAAACGAGTCTTTTATTGTGTCCTTACGTACAGATATCACGCAAAAACATCGTTAAATTGCATTCGATAGCGGTCAAAATGGATATTTTCGTTGAAATATGCTGCCTGAAACTTTTCGCGATTACAAATACTCCCTTTTTACTTCGCACAAGGAAGTAAAAATGATTAAAGCTAAAAAAAGAACAGACTTACTTAATGGCTAAATATTTTCAGAAATCAGCTTAAAAATTTGACGGTATAAGAGTAAAGGGTAATACTCGACAGGAGAGTGAAATTTTCTTTCCTGCTTCTAACCCTTCTTATGAATTAGAAGAATACGAAGAACATTACAAAGAATTTTATTGTGCTGTTTGTAAATAAAAAAATAGTTTTCAAAAGGCTAGTTTTCTAAAAGTATTATTTATTAATATTTTTTTAATTACTACATAACTTGCGTAGTATTTTATTTAAAACTATGCACTCCCCCTTTTTCTTCTCTCACTCACGTTAGTTTTAGATTAGCTCCATAGATGGCAGCACTAGCGGTAATTTTTGAAGGAGCGGGTATATATTATAATATTTCAAACACATTAAAAAAAAAAATAAATAAATAAAAATCGGCGTGTATAACAAAATGCTTTAAGAGGGCAGTACGCCTTTAACAAGCCTAAAATGTTCAAAATTTGACCAATGTTTCTCATTAAAAAAATAATTTTTCAGTCGAATGCATCAAATTTTCCGAATATGTAGACTTTTTATTGATAATACAAAATAAAATAATGAGAAAAATTTAATATTTACGTATTTAAAAATTATCTTAATAGGTAGTTTCCATTTTTCGAAAATTCAACCTTTCATTGCGCGCAGGATATTTAATTTTATATTTGCTATATATTACTAAATTTAATGCTAAATTTTAAAAAAAAGTTTATAATTTTCTTCTATTACATATTATTTATTTAAAAATTTTTATTCTTAAATTTTATAATACAGAAATAAAAATTAATTTTGTTTAATATTTACTTTTAATAAGGACATATAATTTTAAACTTACTGTACTTAGTTCTTGAAAAATATTTAGTACATGTAACTATGACTATTTACTAATACAGTAATAAATTTTAAAATATGACGTTTTGTATACTTACTCAGATACTTGTTTTTTTTAAGACTTACGCAGATATCTTTGGGGAAGGGGAAACTATAGAAAATGCCAATAAAGACAATTTCTTTAAAATTAAAGATAATAAAATAATTGTGTTTAAATTAAGATATTTTATTAACTTAATATTAAGGTAATAAATTGTTTTAAAAGTGCAACAAGGAAATTTAAAAATTTAAAAAATTAATTAATCGTCATAATATAAAATGCTAGGCCAAAAAATTAAAAAGGAAAATTCTCGAGTAAGAGAAAAAAAAAAAAAAAAGTTTAAACAGATGTATTCTGTAAGCAATTTGCGGAATTAATAGTTAAGTACTTTTATATCATACTACATAGTCTAAAAGCTACACAACCAGCAGATCTGATACAGAGAAATACGAAATGGCCAAGATTATTCAATTCTGTGTTTTTTTTATTGTAAATCTACATTAAATTATGCTTTTGGTCTATCTTTACAGCGCAAGATCCAAAAATCTTTAAAAAATGTAAAATTTCTCACCAATTTCTTGGCCATAAAAGAAATGTTTCGTGCAATACAGCAAAAAGCATTCTTTGCTTCCGAATAAAGTTATCCTTTCTCAATTAACTTTTATTTTTGATGCCTCACAATTATAAGAAACTGTGTCCTCTAATTTGCACATCATTTTTACTAATTCAAGCTTTTGTAAGAAGAAAGAAAAGTTTTGTCTATGAGTGCCTATCTTGGACAATCCTCTTCATAGTTTCATCTGTAAGGAAATCTGTGCATCTCAAAAAATGCGCAGTTTTTTCCTACAGTTAAGTTTTCCTACAGTTTAATTGTTCTTCTTACTAAAGCAGATTACTAGTGGGGCAGCTGCCAACCGATAAAGTCGCTGAACACTGGTAGTTTCGACCTGGGTTAAATTCCAAGCCAAAGCGGGCTGGCTGCATGGGCGTTTTTGAGGTTTTCTTCATGTACGAGTCAGTT